GTTTGCTAGCATCACACGTGCCCTTGAATCACCCTGTACAGCAAGGCCAATCTCACTGATGCCCAGCCATGGGCTAACACCTGGGTGTGGTTACAGGGAGAGCAGATAGATCCTCACAACACCCCAGCCCCCTCAAACTCGACAGTTGTATCCTGTGTCACACTAACGTGCTTTTCTCCCTTCCTCACCCCACTAGATCCCAGAGGTGAAGACCAGGTTCTCCCCCAACCCTTCTGCTGTTTTCCAGGCACCATCACGGATCCTCAATGTGTGAAGCTGGACCCTCCTCACACCCAGGCAGCTTAAACTTGGAGTTTCTGTTAAGATGTATCACTATGCAATTTTCATGAGGAGTGTTAAGATCAAAGAACGTGTGTTATCAAAAGCAGCTCCAGTGATTAATGATATGCACACACACTTTCTGTTAACACAACAAACTGCAAAGCACTTGGTTCAGGACTGGCAGAACACGCTGCAAGGAGTGACCTAGTTTTTCACCGGAGCAGGTTCATTGCTATGCCAGCTGGCGTCACATTAGGAGATTGGCTTTGGGCAGCAAAGGCAGGACTGCAGGCAACATCCCTACTCAGAAATACACAGGGTAGGAGGGAAAACAGTCACAAGCAGGATGGATAATTAAAACCCAAACCAGTTTTATTTAGCAACACCCTCCAAGTAGGCCACTGAAAAACAGGGAGTAGTCTGGCTGACTTCTGAGCTTCTTGAGGGGTTTTGGGAGTAGGACCTCAAATGGCATCACCAGAAAGCACAGCTTCAAAGGGCTGGTCTGAACTTCCAAAGTTGTTTTAGAAGCTGGAGGAAGCCAGCGTCAGTGAATTCTAAAATACATCTGGCACATGCAGTGTCTTGGGCCTTTAAGGCTGGGAAGCCGGATGTTTCCAAAATTGGAGAGCTGATGCAGGAGCAAGAGAGGACTGAACTCCAGGAGACAGCTCTGACAGCAGTGCACCATACTGGTTGGAGAGGAGTGCATGGATACAGCCAGGCACCCACCAGGCTCCTCCAGAGGATCTAAGATACTTACATAACTTGTATAGCTGTTAGGGTGACTGTAAATATTGTACATGGATTTTACCTAAAGCAATCTGTGATCCTTTAATGAAAAGGATATGCTTATACTTTTAATAAATGTTAACTCTTTGCATATGCAAGGTGGAAAATATTGCCTTGAAACTCCTAAATTATCGCCTGTATATTGGTAATGTTAATGCTAGGAGCAACCACAAGCGAATGTTACTTAGATATTCTTCTTAAAGAAAAATGTAATGTAGAATGTAAGCCATCTGTCATTTTTAAGATAGGCCGTTTCAAGTGTCATTGTTCTGAAGCTGATTTTTTTAGACTGCTGTGCATTTAACTTTTGCTGAGGTACATGTGTTTTGAGAAACCATTTTTTTAGCCTTTGTTCATCGAGACTTTACAATTTCTATTTCAATAACTTATGCAATATAATTAGTCTACCGCTTATTTAATGGATTTATTAATTATTTTGGAAAAAGAAATTGAAAAACTTTTACTTTGTGTTTGCAACACATGTGTTGTCCAGAACAAGGGAAACTATCCTCAGACTTGAACAGTGATCAGATACTCATTCACCTGTAATAAAACAGACTTTTACACAGGAGGATTTTATCTTAACCTTCTTACTAGCTGAAGTCTAAGATAAATTTAATGAACTTCAGGGATTCTGCTAAAATGTATGCATTACTGTAATTCCCATAAGAACAAGTTTTGGGCTGTTGGCATGTGAATTGTACTTGCAATACATGCAGACAGCATCTTCTCACTGCATTATGTGAGAATTTAATGGTGCCATCCCTGTTCTCTACAGTGGGACCGAACACAACCACCAGAATAGGGAGCACTTGCAGTAAGCTGCATTTGGCTGGGACAAGGGATGGCTCTTCCCACACTCATCCTTGGAGAAACCTGCAGTAATCCCAGTGCTTGCCAAAATAATTTTTCAGGAAATTCATTTGAAGCATTTAAACTGTGCTAAAAGGAGTTTTGCATGTTAGATGTTTCTAAGAATTCAATCTGCTTGTTTAATCTCTTTATAATGTTTTTAACAGTTTTGTTCAAACAATTTAAGTTCATTTCAATCCTGGACTTTATTAATGACAAGGAAAAAAAAAGTAAAAAGGAAATTGTCTATTATCTCTTCTTATTTGACTGTATTTCTTAAAAAATGTGATCCATGTTTAAACAAATTGGTAATATAAGCTTGTATTTTATCAAATGGACTGAATTTAATTTAATAAATTAAAATGTATTTTGGCTATTTGTTCTCTTGGGTATTTTTGTTGTAAAATACAACCCTTAGGTATTCAACCTTGCAGTACAATTTGTCACTGCATGACAGTAGGGCACACTGGACACCAAACAAGGCATGAGGATGCATTCAGAGCCATCAGCAGTCAAGTCCTAACTCCTGGAGCTTTCCCCCAGGCACAGCCCCCAGCAAGGACAGCTTGAAGGCACATTCAGAGCTGTGGCCCAGCTACGTTCCCTATGAAATGCAGAGGTTGGATCCACTTTGATGCTCTGCAGAGCCTTTCTGCATTTTCTACACTGTGCCCTGTTAAGTTTCACCTCAGTTTCACTCTGCCGTCTCACACAGATCACAGGAAAAGGTGATAGCATTGAATGTTAAAAGAGGTCACTGCTTTACAGTTATTCCCAAGAACATTTCAGACAGTAAAAGTGCTGAAGATACAACCAGCTTCCCTAGACAGTGCAATAGCTCTTCTAGCTATGCCTCAAAAGACTTCAGGAGAAAGCTAAAGGCTCACAAGCTCACATTGAGCTGCTGCTCAATGTACATGAGCAATGAACAGAAGGAAAAGTGAGCAGGTACTTACCACTGTAAGGTCTAGGGTGATGCCACTGGCTGTCAGTGTCTGCAACTTACCTGATTTTGTATGAAAAATGCCTGCCTCAGCCAAATTGAAAGGTATCACACGAAATTGCTCTGAAGAAGTCAAATCTACATGAGTTTTGCCGGCTCCAGGGAGTCGTGACGCCAGAATTGCTTCCAACACTGTTCTCACACTAGTATTTGTCTTCCCAATTGCTCTGGGCCCATGTCCAAGTCCTTCAAGGATTTTCGACTGAATCACACTGCAAGTAAGGGTTATTTGACACATAAAGAAATGTCCTTTAAAAAGGGTTTACACCCGTAACTTTAGAATTTACTACCTCTAGGATGACACTGAACCTGCTTGTTTTGTTTAATCCTGCTGACACCTGGGCTGTTGGGATGCTGAAGGTGAATTTTGTGGCAGGGAGCAGTGAATACCTGCACTGCCATAGGCTCAGTGTAAGCTTTGGTGGGGGAAATACACCATTGCTCAGGAGAGTTGTTGTGAACTAGCAAAATTCCCAAGCAACACATTTCTGATTTTCTTGCTTTCATAAATTGCACGTTTCTCTCTGCATTGCACTGATTTGAGAGCGAAGCATCAGATGCAAACCTCTACCTTAGTCATACCCGTTCCCTCTAGCTTGGTTACTGCAGTAAGGACCAACCTGGTTTGCCACAAAGGGATTGCTGGTGCCATGCAACCCAGAAAGGCTGTGGTTACTTCCAGGGCAGGAGGCACTTGTGTGGCATTTAGCACTAAGATGGTGCTGTGCAGCATTTCCAAAACAACGGCGCGTCCGACTGTTCACAGACACTCGGCTCCTCCCTACAGGGCAGGGAGAACGCAGAAGTTTGGTAACTTTGCTTACTCTTTCGGTTCCTGCCCGTGCCAAGTGCCGGTGCCCAGCGCTGGCAGAGGGTGGCGGGAGCTGTGGGGGGGTCTCCATCAGGGGTCTCTGAGGGGAACCTCTGTGAAGGGGTCTCCATGAGGAGAATCGCTGTGGAGGGGTCTGAGGCGGTCTCTGAGGGGAATCTCTGTGGAGGGCTCTCCATGACGGGGTCTCTGAGGGGAGGGACAAATGGTGGAGAGGGGGAAGTCCTCTGTGAGGGGGTCTCTGTGAGAGGAGGGAGCAGTGAGGGAATATCTGTGAAGGGGTCTCTGTGGAGAATCTCTGAGGGGGTGTCTCTGTGAGAGTTCTGTGGAGGAAGCAGAGGAGGGGTGTCTCTGTGAGAGTTCTGTGAAGGGAGGAAGCTGAGGGGGTGTCTCTGTGAGGGGGTCTCTGCTCCGTGCCGGACACCGCCGGTCCCCGAAGCCATCAGAGGAGCCGGGGCCGGCCTGAGGGAGGGAGGAGGCCACCATTGGCAGTGAAGGACTGAAGACAACAGAAAAGAAGTCGAGGGGAGAGCATTTTGGGTTTTATTGGGGCTTTTTCCCCGTTTTTTTAGGGACTGGGGGGGTTGGCTAGTTTTTTTTTGTCTTTGCCTCTCACCATCCATCTTCTATTTGGCAATAAGTTCAACTAATTTTCCCCAAGTCAAGCCTGTTTTGCCTATGGCAGTAACCAGTACATGTCTGTTTTTATCTACTGACTTCGTTGATCTGCCCAGGGCAGTGATGGCATCCCCATCTGTGATGGCATTTAAAAGACCCATACTGTGGCACTTGTGGACATGGTTAACGGTGGGCTTGGCAGCCACTACTAGACTTGGTGACCTTAGAGGTGTTTTCCAAACTCAGTGATTCTGTGCTACATTGTCCTCACCCACATGAGGCATGTTACTTTCTCCCGAGTTCTGGAGTGACAGCGGCTGGGCCAACCTCAACCCACCTTACTTTTGAAAAGTCTTCCACACAAACCAATGACTTGCTATTTAAGCAGGCGGCTCTGGAAGACAAAAGGTTGGAGGAGCTCAGCTCCTGGCTTCCCCTTCCCCAGCTTCCAAAACCAGGAGCTTTTTAAAATAACTAGAAAATGGGAAAATTACCTTTTCCTTCAGATCAATTCCTATGGATAAGAATCCAGAACTAATTACGACATTCTGAATACACAGAGTACAAAAATATCTGTGGATCTGGAGAAACTTTGAGTGACAGGTGACAGTCAAGACAATCCTAGCACAGCTAATAAAAGAATTTATTGTAAACATACGTATATTACACAATTATACAGTATAATACAGATAACATGAAGGATTTAAACACTCAGCATTACAAATAGGGGCAATATTCATAAAGAGATCTTTAACTCTTCAGAAAGCCAGAGAAATATACTGTAACATTTCAACACACCGCATCTGTAGCATTCCACAAATACCTGAAGGGATGTGTGAAATTTCACAACCTCCATCTTATCTCCAAGCAATTCCCACAGGAACTTCTCACCAACAAATTTTTCTCCCACCACTATTCAAAATGCAAAGAACTTGTTGCAAACATTTCCTACATCTGAAGAACTAAACAAATGTGTCACTTTCTATCTGCTTTTAACAGTTTATTTTTCTTCAGCAAACTTTATATACTAATATAGCATCTCCTAGGAGAATAACCTGTGGTTGCTCAGAAATGTAGCAATAGATCTCCACTACAAGAACCCCATTAAGAATGAGAGGTTCTGTACCTGCCTGCTTGAGGGCCAGGTTCAGGACTTTTTCTGAAACTCCATCCCTCACAGAAAAGCAGGACACAGGCAAAGAAGCCACAATTAGCAAACAGATGCCCAAAGATGAGCTCCTGCATCCTCAAAAGCTGCTCTGGGTGTTATCAGAATCCCAGAACAAAGCCTGCAAGAGGCAGGGGCTGGAAATGCATGTGTACAGAATCACAGAACAGGCTGAGTTGGAAAGGACCCACGAGGATCACCGAGTCCAACTCCTGGCCCTGCACAGGTCACACCACATGTCTGAGAGCGTTGTCCAAACACTTCTGGAACTCAGGTTTGGTGCCCACTGCCCTGGGGAGCCTGTTCCAGTGCCCTGCCACACTCTGGGTGAAGAATCTTTTCCTGATGTTCAGTCTAAACTTCCTCTAACTCAGCTTCATGCCAGTCCCCCGGGTCCTGTCACTGGTGATGAGTGAGGAGATTGGTACCTGCCCCTTCGGAGGATGCTGAAGACCACAATGAGGTCTCTGCTCAGTCTCCTCCAGGCTGAACAGACCAAGTGACCTCAGCTGCTCCTGCCACAGCTTCCCCTCAGACTCTTCCCTGTCCTTGTGGCCCTCCTTTGCATGCTCTCCAGTAACTTAATGTCTTTTTTTATATTGTGGCACCCAAAACTGCACAGTACTCGAGGTCATTGCAGATCAGAGCACGACTAAGTCTGCCCACAAGGCTGCTCCCACAGAACCTGCAGGCTGTCGTGATAGCGACAGGGATGTGAAAATGCCCTTCTCTTTCATGAAGTACACAGGGGTGCCTGAAAGCAGTACAGACCCCAAGTTCACTACAGCCTACAAAGCAGGGGTCTGCAGCTCCCCAGCTACCTGGATTCCTCCCAACTCAACACTGAGCTGGAACGTAATCACTGCTGCTCAACTCCGTCACACTGACCTCCACTGATAATGTCAGGGCTAAGCTGTGCCCTTTCCTTTCACAGGCAATCCTGCACTCAGCTCACCCCAAGCCAGGATTAGCTTTTGAATCCAGAGCATCTGTAATGTCCTTCCTAGGGGGCATTTAAGTCCTTTTCTAAATGCTGTTTGGATTTCATCCATTGGTCCCATTTCCTAGATTCAGGGTTCAGGTTCTGCCACTCTTTTATTCAACAGAACTGCAGCTCCCTGTTAGCTGTTAGATGAACTGAGAGGGGCTTTCTTGCAGACCCCAGTTTTATTTAAGGTGGAGAAGACAGGTGGCATCCCATCTGAGGTACACAGTGCTTTCTTCAGTTTAACAACTGCATCAAACTTATACTACTCTCCTTCCAAGTCTGAAACCTCTAACTGAAGCATTTTTCACAGTTCCTGCACGCTACTGTAGTTACCATTGCCTGTGTTCTAGCCCCAAAAGAGCACCAAAAGATAACATTCTGCTCCAACCCCAGGTCAAGAAAGATAACTGTAGTTTAATGTTTATAAAAGGCTTTGTATTGTCAAAGCACCGCACCAACAAGAGCGAGGCCTCAGTACACCCCTGTGAGGTAGGTATCCTGCTCCCCATGCTCAGAGATGGGGAAACTGAGGCACAGAGTGATTAAATCAAAGGCCATGCAGCAGATCAGAGACCCAGCTGAGATCAGCACACTGGAGGTTCTGGCTGTTTGGCCCATGCTCCACCCATGACAGCACTGCCAGACAAAACAAGCATACTGAAAGTACAACAGTCCCACAGGAGTCCCACCAACTTCACAATGGCTTGTTCACACTACCAGCAAGCACCCATGGGGGAGGACAAAGGGGTGGTGGATGTGGGGTGGTCAGGATGTTGTCAACGAAGCTTTCTTCAGCAAGGTGTTGATAGCCAGGCTCAGACATGTCTCCCTCACCAGCAGTGTTCCTGAGACAGGTAAGTGCTGGAGTTAGTAGCAGAACTTCTTCCTGCAGTCAAGACATCAGAGGATCTCCCCAAAAGCAGCAAATCTTTGAATTTTTGATCCCACCAGGCCTCTCTGTGTTGAACAGAACCTATGCCAAAGCAGTGCTGCTCCCACAGCGCTTCACAGTTCAGGCTGATACTTGGTGAACGCTGCTACAACATTAAGACTCGTACAACACCACTGGTCATCTGCCCTCCAGCACTCTTCAAACCTCCTGGCAGCCCAGGGAGGCACTTGCTGGACAAGTGACATGTTTCAGCCAGCCCAAGCCTACAAACCCCAAATATTGTCTTTGCTCCTCTCCTTTCCCATGCAGGACAAGTGGTCAGTCCAATCTTTCCAACCCTGATCGTGGTTTGTTCATCTTGTTTGAGGATCTGCCAGTCTGCCCTTTCCAAGGTGACTAAAAAAGGTGGCACCTGACACCTCCTCTAGAGAGGCAAGGAATTTGGTTAGGTGACACTTAGCTGAGCAAGCTGCTGACAAACCTACCAGCTGTATTCTCAGTCACACACATCATGCTCAGGCAAGAAGGGCCAAATCTGCTGCTGCCATAAGCCTTCTGCTCCCTCAAATCCACACCTATCCACCCATCTACTCAAATGGCCCACCTTAAAGAGCTGCCTTTGACTTTTTCCACATTCAGAGTGCCAAAGCAAGTGCCCTGCTCGCTGCATGGGGAAACCAACTCGTATGCAGACTGCATTAAAAAACATCATTTCTCATCTTAAAAACCAGTTCAGTCTCACCAGCAGAGCTGTCTCAGAGGGACCAGGCCTGTGGAGTCTCTCACAGCTAGCAACTTGATGCAAACTGACAATGTTTGTTCAGCCACTGAACATACACTTACCAAGTAAACACTGACATTTAACAACTTGATTTGGAACAGAGCATCATTGTGTTGCATTAAGGTGCATCTTTAATTGGAGGTAACAATCTAGTAGCCCAATGTTATAAATGTAATAGTGTCCTACAGAAATACTGGATTTGTCAGCCCAACTTCAGTCATAAATCCACCTTTCCTGTAGCACCTTCTCTGCTCTATTTCATTGCTCCTCATTTAGTATCTTCATATGTTTGTTTGTGAGGAAGTCAAGAAAGGGAATATTACAGATGGCTTTGTGAATATTCATCACTGTGATCTCTCTTGGAGTCCTGCAGGGAATGCATCAGAGATGCTATTATAATACACAAAAAACCACATGTCCATAAAGCAGCAAGTCAAAAATAACAATCAAAGCAAAAAAAGGATATAAGAGCAGGTGTTAGAGCAATGCAGGGAAAGCATTAAAATATCACAGCACAAAAAAGCCACTCAAATGACTGAGGAGAAACCTCTTGGGCACTGGGACAGGAAAATCAAATACTAAAGCATGAATTCCTGAATTTGTATAGCATAATCTTTGTGTATGTACTTCTACATATAACACGTATATATTTTAATATATTACGTAAATATTTATATATTGCATACAAATGAATATTTAAATGGAGCATTTTCTCATAGTGTTTGGGGTTTTTAAAATCAATTTAAGCTATCTCAAATAGTGCTGCTGAACAGAAATCAAAATGTGGCCTCATCAATAGATAGTAAAAAAGAATTCTTTACTGTTGAGGGTAGTGAGGCCTTGGCACAGGATGCCCAGAGAAGCTGTGGCTGCCCCATCCCTGGAAGTGCCCAAGGCCAGGTTGGATGGGGTTTGGAGCAACCTGAGATAGTGGAAGGTGTCCCTGCCCATGGCAGGGGGTGGAACACAAAGATCTTTAAGGTCCCTTCCAATCCAAATAATTTTACGATTCTATAAAACTCACTCAACATCTGAGGCAGAAAAGTGTGCATCAGTAAAATAAAGAGATTATTTAGATTAAGTTCTAGCAGGCCATGGCTAAGCTGTCTACACAGCAACCTGAGATGGACAAGAGTGAGCAGGTCCTTCCAGTGTGGCTCTGCAGAAACAGATCATCTGCCTCTGAGCATGGCAACACCGGAGAGCCCTGCCTTGGTTTTTAATGTTCATGTTCCCATCCTTTTGCACTAGGGGGCCACAAAATAACAAACCCTTCTTAAGGCTGGTTCTTCTCAGAGCACAGTCCATAAATTCCCTCAGTCTTGTGGTCTGAGCCACACAAAGCCTGACTAAATTCCCCAAGCCATTCCACCCTCAGTGCTGGTGTGAGTGGTGGCAAAGCAGCCCCGAGCTGTACCTGTTGTGAGGAGCTGTCTGGTATGCCACAGCGAGTGCTTGCCGTAGGATATCACTCATCAGCTGCTCAGTAGCCTGAGACAAGAGACAGCATGACAAAAAGAGCAAAGGAACTTGCTATTTGCTCAAGTATCAGTGTAGAAGATTTTGGCTAAAATTTTGGCTGGCTTCAATCTTCAAATGACCAGCACAGGGCAGTTCAAGACACCCTAGTGAGTTTTATTACTTAAGACATGAGTTTATTTAACAGAAAGAGACACAGATGTGCATAGAGCTCAGGCTTCAACTGCCCAGCCTGCTTTCCCTCCAGACCTGCAGAGCTGTACGTGCCCAGCAGGGTGGATCAAGCACTCCAGAGCCTGAGCTTCCAAGAGCATTTCAGGACCCTGACTCTCACACACCAGAGCTGGTGCTGTACATGGCACACTGCAGACACTCTCCTGGGAGCCTCTCCCTGTGGTCACCAGGCTTCTGTCAAGACACCCTTACAGGAACCTCCCAGCAGCCATATGCCAAACACTTGGCTTAAACAAGGTTCAGTCAAAAACTAATTAAGGCTCTTGGCTTTCTGTGCTGTATTCAAAACCAGAGAAGAGGTTTCTGCAATGTTCAGTGAAGAAAGCTGGCATAACTACAATTATAATGGAGCAACCTGATGGCTACAATCTGTGTCTATAAATGGATGTACTGTGGCAAGTAGAAGGGAGCACAGCACAGGCATGCACATGAGTGCATGTGCCACCTGGAATCAAATAGATTTTGTAAATCTCATCTTCTGATAAACTGCAGTCTGTATAAACAACCCTGAAAATCATCTTTGGCATGAAATACACCAGAGTGCTGCTAGAAATAATCTGTGTTGGCCTTCAGTCCAAACCCAAGAACTCCAGATCCCTGCTGTTCAAACTCTGGTGCAAAACCATTTCTCTATTTTTCCAGAAGTGATTATGATAGAGAAATAGTTTCTCACACGTGGCAGAATTGTTACTCTCCACAGGAATTCAGCAGTCTCCCAGCAGAGATGACCTGGTCAAAGTAATCAAGGAGTATTTAGGAAAATATAGCTAACCTTGTATGAAACAACGAAGCCTTACACAATCTGAAAGATTCCCACCCAATTCTGAAGGGAAGGACAAAGCAAGGGGTACTTTCAAAATCACAGGATGAGTCAGTATCTTCATTGTGGTGAGAATTTGTAAATCACTATTCTGTGTCCAAGCCAACAATCAGTTAAAAAACTGAAAATCCAAACAAAAATGTATAGCTCTCTTTGGGCAGCTATGTATCTATCTATTCATGCAGAAAGACAGGCTTTGATTTGATAAATGCATATTAATAAAGCTGCTCCATTTTTTTCCCTAATTGCTGAGTTAATACAATTACAGACAAGTAAAGTAATTTCTTACCTTTAAAATCATATCTTCTATTACGGATGCATAAACATTCTTTTGTACCTCAGCAGGTTGAAAAGAAATCCCTATCTATAAAATAGAAGAGATAAAAAAAATTAGTATATAAAAAAACCACAATTCCCATTGTACTAGAATTAGATAAGATTAACAGAAAAAAACCCTCTTACAAAGGGTGGTTGAATGAGAAGCAAGTAGACATATAGAGCTGTCAAGCAGTATAATCTCAGCCTTAATTTAAAAAAAATCTGGGTAAAACTAGCACAGCTTGTAGAAATGCCTCTGAAGGTCAGAAGAAACAAGAACAGATTTTAGTTTATGTTTCAGAAAGTCCATACAAAACCCAGGCTGCACTAGGTATCTTTGGGTTGAGAAAAGAAGCTCCATTTTAAAACTGTACACATCTTCAATCCATCTACTCATCAACTTTCCTGCACCCAGCTATGGCCACTGAAACCACTTTAAACAGTATTGCTGGCACAGGAGTTCCACCCCAAAAGAGTGTTTCATTCCTCAGTTCCACTTTCATTGTGCCCATGCCTTTGTCATCCATGTAGCAAGAGACCAGACTCACTGCAGAACCAAGGTTTTGTCCCTTGCTGTCAGCAGCTGAGGGGGGGACAGGGATCCTTTCTTTCTCCAACAACTGCTCCATGCAAACCCCTCCTGCTGCTCTGGTACAACAAAAAACACTCTTTCTTACAAGCCAAGTCAGTCTCCTCTCCTGTTGCCATGACAGAAAACCTACCTCTCCTGCCCTGAACTGAACAGGAGGAAGAAACCCAAGCAGCAGAGAAGTCTGTGGAGTTTTACCACAACCCCTTTTCAGGAACTGCTATTATGTAGCACTGGTCCATGCAACAAGTCCACATCTTTCACATGATAAGACAGGAAGAATTCAGTGCTAGTGCTCCTCATCCCTCATTTATCCTTGCTTTTAGCCTTTCAAGATGATTTTTCTGTACTAAGCCCTGCAAAACAGCTAGTCTGAAATGAGCTCCCAGCTGGCATTCTTCCTTTCCAGAACTGGCAGCTGTGTGTCTTGAGTCAGAAGGTCCCATTTTTCCAGGGCATGTATAAAAAAATTTAATTTAAGTCCTGAGGCCTATATAGATGAAAGAAGTTCAATTAAATAAATGTAAGAGCACAAGTAGCTTAACAACAGTCCTAATCAGCTTTGTGATTCACTTATTACCTTCTCAGCAGTGTCCCTCACAAACTCTGATGCAGGCAAGGAAGCCATGTAGAACTTCATCTCTTCTTGTTTCTCCTCCTGTTCTTTCTTGATGTTTATTTTTAATGGTTCGCTAAAGTTGAGAATATCTACTTCCTCTTCATGCTCTGGCTCTTGTTTCAGAAATTGCTGTAGTTCCTCCAGTTTTCGGCACAGCTCCTCACCACTGCTGTAAGAGGAAGGGCACTCTGAAATAGAAGCAATCAATTAAACACACGATAGGTTATGGAAAGCTGTTTATAAACAGATGCACACTCAAAATATGGTAAGAAATTAAGGTAATTGCAAGTTATTTTTGTAGTGCCTACCAGATATAACGATGAACAGAAATGCAAACAGTCATTGAGAGCCTTCTAATTATATCTTCATGACACTCATGCTTCTCTCCCACATCTGCTCCTACACCAATCAAGAGGGCTGCATTTCATACAAAACCAGGCTCATGTCAGTCTCCCAAACATTCTCACAGAAGCCTTTTAAGCTTTTTGGCAACTGGCAAATCAGTCTGATGCTCTTCAGCTTGCTTAGAAAAATGGAACTTTTACATGTAGGCACCATGTAGTGCTAAATCATCTTTTATATTGTGACGAGCATTATCATGCTTCTTAAGAAAAAAATCAGAAGACAGGTTCACAGTGGAATGGCAAAAGGGAACCTCTTCTCTGCATGACTGACACAAACCAGTCAAACCTTCAGTGCAAAGCTATGCAGTAAACAGATTCTACTCTTCAAAGACAAACACATATACAGTGATTTAGAAATGAATATTATAAGGTGGTCCTTTCCACCTTCAACAACTGCAATGCAGGGCCAGACTTTACAACATATAATCAATTCCATACACTTCTGTGAGATCCCTGTGTGATTTCTATATAAATTTCTGTATAAATTCTGTTAAATCCCTGTATGATCAGAAGAGAAGAACATTCAGCTTTTGGAAAGGCATTATCTGAAGGTGAAACAAGAGAGCTCAACTGTGAAGAATGGATGAAATTAAAGATGCAATTTCAAAACATACTGAAATGAACGGAGGGGATCCTAGAACTATGCTAGTGGAATAATGTAGCAGCTGTAATACAGAGCATGAAGCTTCACAAGAGCCAATTCACCTCACTTTTGGAGGTAAATTAACTCCCACTGAGTTCCACACTGCCACTGCCAGATTTGGTTTTTTTTTTGTTCTGTACCTGGAGTCATTCATAGTGTTTGCATGATAAGTCTTAACAGAGGCTAAGCATAACCAAGGGCAGAAATGTCATTACTCCCATGCCCACTTTGTGTATCCACTTACAAAGGATTACACTGTGGAACAAGGATCATCTTTCATGAGATTCATCTACACTGAGCCTCCAAGGGCCCCAAAGCACAATAAAAACCAAGAGAAGCCCCAGAAAAACATCAGGACTGGTAGGGACAAGCCCCACTTGTAGGCCTGCCTTTACCACCTCCAAGTTTTGTTATTCTGGAGTGAAGTAAGTGAAAACAAGGAAAGGAAGAATCCCCTTCCCAGATGTGCCTGTACAAAGGCATTTAATGAACAGTGTCTTTGGCAGAAAGCAGCTCCCTGTGCCTCCACACTCACCTGGCTCACTGTCTATCTGTGTCAGCACGTCCTCAATGGAGTCCTCCTCGTTGCGCAGGGTCTCGGGGTCAGGGGGAGTGTAGCCATGGCACCGACACCAGTGCACCACGTGCTTTGTTTTCAGGGGGATGATACTGTGAAACCTGGGGTGCTTCTCTATGATTTCTTGGAGGATCTTTCTCACTGTCATTGCTCGTTGCCACTGTGACCAACCAAAGAGAAAACCCATCACACTGGCTATAACATTTAGGGTTAGCTTACAGCCCAGAACCGTAATCAAGGTTGAAAGGCAAACAGAAAAGGAACATGATTTTCTCCAGAGTTAGTGACTTCTGACAGGTCATTTAAACTTTGCTTTATCATCAAAAAAAAAAAAAAAAAAAAAAAAAAAAAAAAAAAAGTCCAGAAAAGGGACACACATTTACAGGGAGCCTAGTCATGTTTGTCTTGAAGTGTTTCATCTCTCAAGTAACACCAAAGATGTCATGGTGCAAGAATCCATTAGAGTGAAATATGTTCTTAAAATTTGGTAAACTTTGGTTAAAATTTGGTGACTGTTTAAGCTGGCAACAGCAGAAGATCTATTTCAGTGTTAACAGCTTCCCTGTAAAACTCCAGCAAGATGGCAAAGCTATGAAGAAATAGAGGGAAACTACAATACAAAAGGTCCAGGTTAACTGAAATATTTATCTTTGGTGAACTGACAATCTATTTCAGCACTAGTACTGCTTATGTCAGATCCCTCAATTCTCATCCTACAGCATACAGACACAATCCCACAACAAGATAGATAAAGTATATTGGGGAAAGTTCCCTTGACTGCAACATACCACAGAGTAGAGATGAGAATAAAGTACTACCAATCTGAAAAAAATTATAGTTTTAAAATGCTTCAAAAGCCATCTTACTATAAATAAACTGAAAAATGACCTTCAGCATCCTTTCTGCTTGAGAAAGCCTGTGAACAATAAACTTGATCACTGTCTGAACACAAGTCAGTGCACCTTGCAGTAAAGAATGCTGCCATTCAAAAGAATAGATTTATTCAGAAAACAACAAGGAAAGTTTCACAATTCAGAAATCCTTGTGTTCCTAGTGACTGCTTATGAAACACTGGAGGAGAGAATTACCTCGGCTGCCCTCCTCTTCCCAATGTTCCAGCTGTAATACTGTTCCACTGAACTGGCACAAAAAGAGCTTACATCCTCACCTACAAAAACACAAAATCAAAAACTCCATTAAATTTTCAGTAAGTGAAGTAAGATGCATTCTGGGTTTGATGTCATTTATCAAAGAGGAAGAGAGAAATGCATTCCATGCTCACAGGCTCAATGACTGCAACCAACTCTTACAAATGCTGTGCTCTCTCCAAGAGAGACTGACACTGGTTTTTGAACGCAAAATAAGCCTCTCTCCTATACACACAGAACCTGTAGCTATGTGCTGTTTTAAGCCTCTTTTCCCCCCCAAAACTCTATTATGCAGACCTGTAAGTCTGACTTACTGCTCAAAGTCTTTTCCTTTAGAAAAATGGATTTTTTTTTCCCAAACAAATTACAACATGAAAATGAAACAACAGTGAGAAGGTTTCTTGGCAAAAGCAGGAGAGCTGTACGTGATGAAAGCTTTCCTGTGCCTCTCACTCCCTTCTTTGCTGCCTGTGCTTGAGAGGGTCTGCTCTACCCAGACTCCAGGACCACTCCTTCAAAATGCACTAGTTATCAGGGAAAGCCGATACATTTTCAGTTTCATACATGAGCAGAGGAATGAAATAATAAAGTACCACACAAAGAAAAATGTTTCTGTGCAAATTATCCCCTCATGTTTAAAAAAGGCAGTAAATACCCCAATAACAAACACATTTCAGTGTTGAGCTACGTTACTCTATTTGTCAGCTTGATGAAATCCTAGTTCTAAATTTAAAAAAATAAAAAAGAAAAAAGTAAATCCATTAAGGACAAACCAGGAAAAAGAAGACCTACTTGCAACCACTATGTGAAGAAATACAATCTATTTCTAATGAAAAAAAAACAGATGAAAAATTTTAACTGCTAACAACATATCTGACTTTACTGGAAGAACGTAATTCTAAGCCTCTTCAGAATAACCCCTGGGGTAAACTCTCTAGAAGGGCTTCATTTCATTCCACTCTTTAATAACTTCTGTGGCTACAGAGTATGCAAGGCATTCTGTTGATACACTAAAAATACAGAGCAAAGCCTTTTCATTTACTGCTTACTTTTTTCAGCAATTAATGGAACCTTCTTCACTATTGCTGTTAAAAGCTGCTGGACATTCTCCAAATACTCTATGCTGCAAGGGATAAAAAGAATCACAGTGAAGATTGCTGTTGGAAGCAATGAATCAGATGCAAAAGGTTTCAAAATTACTGCATGGTTTGAAGTCTTTAACTCCAAGACATTATAAATAGCAGTGTGAGGAAAAACTGTTGCACCCCAAACCAGAGAAGGCATTTCAACCAACCCTTCCTCTTGCTGAAGTGTCGACATCTGAAGCTGCATTTGTCAGGCTGAAGAAACTGAAGACAGGCTTGGAGAAAATCCCTGCATTATCTCACAAGCTGCAACATTACTTTGAGGAGTAACCAGTGCAGGCTGTCCCCATAGGAAACATGGGAAGCTTTGTATTTATGGGACTTGACTTAACCAGACATAGTCTATTAAACTGGCAGGAACTGTATTTTCCAATAGTTATATTATAACTAAGATCATTTTCAGTGTGTAGTGACTGAAGATTTATTTCTGTCTCTTACACACACCCTCCATCAGGGGAGCGTCTGCAAGGATATACTGAGATAACAAAACTTTACAAAACACAGAGACAGGGAAGTTGGAGGAATGAAGAGCAGAAGAGACAACATACACACTGCAAGAAGCATCTAGAAAAGTTCTGTAGTCTGAGTTCTGGTGAAAAAACACTAACAAGTACTTGCAAAAGCATCACAAACAAGGCACTAGGTTTCACAGCATCCTGTGATACTCATTATTATTTAATTCTAATTCTGAAGCAAAGCAGCCCTCATACTAAGCAATTACACAAGTATATGAGCTTAACAAGACTTGAGATTCTAGAAGGTGGACAGTTCCACTTATTTCAGGTGCCCCTTTTCAGAGCTGCTTTTCACTGGGCAGTATGACCTGGCTAAGGACATGCAATGGCAACAGGACTTCTACAAGCAGAGGATGATAAAGAGATTTTACAGCGTGTAATTTTAACAAAGCCCAAACCAACTGAAAATCTTCAAATGAATTTTTTCCCCTTTCATGAACTGTGCATACAAATCCATTCACAAATAAAACGCTGCAACACTGTCTGAAACAAATGCCACCCAACAGATTACTACAGATACAGCAGTGTATGGGACAGATTTTATGTCTTTCTATGTCAAAGTAACACTACTGCACCATCCCTAGAACCATCTCCATTCCCCCAGCACTTCAAAGATCAGAAATCCTTATAGAGAAATGAACAATTACTTGATAACGTAATTCCCAAGTTCAGAGCTCTCTTCTGTTTTAACTGCTGCTTGGCTTTCTTGGGTACCCACAGAACTGCAGTTTTGTCCTGTTGAATCAGGCTCCATCTTAACTTCAAAGAAACAGAACACATTTTAAGACAAAAAGTACAGCCAGCTTGATAAAAGTACCAGACAGTCTTGTGAGACTAAAGGTCTTACATAACATCCCTTCATTTATTGTTTGCATTCTCATTGCTAAGCATGAACAAATTTGACTTTCAATTTTGCTGAAAAGACCTACCAGAACATGTTCCCCCCACAAATCCCCACATGCTCACATCTCATCCTTGTCAGAAACCTGCATAATCAATTGCTGCTGTTTTGCTGCCTGATCTAAACTGAACTGCCTGGTCAATCTGCAAACAAAGAGCTGGATAGAAAGTTACCAAGTTTTAACAAGAAAGTGACAACTTCTTTGAAGACATCACTGATTCTGACATGTGAACTTTCTCACGTCTAGGACAAACTCTGGTGAGACAGAAGCAGTGAAAGATGTGCTGAACCCAAATAACCAGGCAGTCTGGTCAGGCAGCTGGGATGGAGAGAGGTACGATAGTTGTGCCAGAACTGGACTTGAAGTGTGTCAGCTCTGCCCCATGCTTTATTCTGGGAAGGACTGTATGTCTTTCCCCATTGTGTGCATGTGCTGGCTGCATGTAGTGCTGCTGGAAAGCAACCTCCAGTGCATCTGGCTGAGAATAGCAGGATCTGGGGCTGCATACTTGGTGCTCTACACAAATATGGACTGCAAATATGTTGAACAAATAAGTTCAACATATTGTTGAACAAATAAATTCTGCAAATATAGACTGAAACAGTGAGTGTTTAAGGTATTCCTTGTAGCTTTCTAGAACATTCTCATTTTTCTCCATACTCATCTACACTGTGGGATTTGTTGAGGGGAAGTCACTGTTAAATTCCTAGTTCCCAAGTGTCATTTTAACTTGATTCAAACTCTATTAAATAATGAAAATAAAGGAACTCACAGTCATGGAGTCTACATTAATAGTCAGGCCACTTGCATAAAGAAGCACCAGCCTTTTTTTACTACTTGTCTTACAAAGAAATCCCTTTTTACCTTTGGCAATGGATGCCGTGGAGGGACTTGGGACAACTGTACTTGCTGCTGTGACTGCTGAAACTTTGCTGGTAGAAAGTGACTGTAGCACTGGAGATGAACAGAAAAAAAAGGGAGGGGGGCAACAAAGAAGAAAGAAAAATCAAATTTCGTACACTTTAACAAATTAACATTTTCAGAAGTAACACACTCCTTTTGCAGCACAAAGTTTAGGGATTTATTCCTTGCTACAGTTTCTTCTATCTCTACTTCCATGGACCATGTATGCCAACAGTGACCAAGTGCTACCCTGTGTCAAAGGAGATTTTCAAACACCATGTGTCATCCTCCTCTGCCCTTTACCTTTGTTCATAGGCATGAGTATTGTCTGAACACCTCCAGAAGCTGTGTTTACACCGAGCTGTTTAAGCTGGCTGGGAACTGTCAGAACAGCCTGCTGTGGACTAGACTGATTTGAGTGGATTTTTAGCAACCCTGCAAGAAGAAGGGAAGACAAAATGTTAAATAAAACACACCAGTTAGTTTATCTCCAGCTACTTCTCTCCCTTTCTGCTTGAAGCAGGATGGCATGTAACCTAGCACTGCCACCCTCTTAACAAGCCACAGCTGGATGAGCTGTCAGGACGAGTTTCCACTGACACAAGAGATGGCTTGAACGCTGTAGTGCTGCACCACAGAGTGCACACTCTTACATGCTGCACAGCACTCCACAAGTTGTAAAGCAAATCTCCTCATTACCTAAGGAATCTTAAGCAAAAGCTGATGTAAGAAACCTTTCAACTGCAGCAGGCTCAGCAGAGTATAACACTCTTGTCAGGACCAGACCTTGTGCTCAAGGCTGTGGTAAGCCAGTGAACTACAGCTCTGTTGTACTCACACAGCTGCTCTCAGGGAGGTATCCCAGTGCCACTCACCCTTCTGCAGTTCAGCTTAGCAGCGTCCACTGCAGTCAGCTGGGCACAATCAACCTGTTTCAACTGTGGGACAAGCCCAAGGCTGCTGTGCAGCAGGTGTGACAAAGGACACACCTGAACTGAGTGTTGTGAGTCTCTCTGCAACGTGCACTGAACACTCCCATAAGGATGGCTAATTAGGCTGGAAGTACATTAAACTGGACACTGAACTAAATCCCCGATTTTAGTCGAGGTCAAAAGAACAAGCAGAACATTCAGACATGAACAGCATTATCAATGGCAGCACTCAGTAACTTCAGGAGAAATCAGCACGACTCCAAGCTGTGCCACAGTCCCACAGGTGAGGAGTGCCCATCACCTGTCTGCCAGCTCTCTCCTCCACAAGATGTCATCTCCTTGTGATAATACCCCAAAACATCACAACCAGCACTCTAACACTGGTTTGGGCCTATGTCCCTCCTTTCTACAGGTAAACTGGCTATTTTCCATGTAATTACATTCAATCTGTAGCTAACTTTTCTTCAGATTGTGGAAATTTAGCAGGCTTCTATTTTAAAACATTGACAACAAAAAACTTCTTAGTTTTACCACAACAATTTTGTAACTATGATTTGTTTTGACACTATTATTAATAGTAGTAGTGAAACACAGCTGCCTTCCAAGAACAAACATGCAAGTTCTGGTGAAGATGTCTTGGTTTTTCTTGGTTTTTAAGGATGCCCAGCACTGGTCAGTTGGGCTTTCACCTCCAGGCAATAAGGCTCACCTAGTGCTGCCCATTCTTTTTTGTGGGACACACTGATGTGGCAGGGTAGGACAGCAAGGGACCCAACAGCAAGGCTGTTAAAAAGGGACCTTTTCATCGAACCCTATCAGCCTGGTGGGTGGGAGACATTGCTTGATAGAAATCAAGGGGGAGTTTGAAATCCTTTTCAAAAAGTTGCCTTTAAAAGCACAAATGTTCAGAATTCTAACAGTTCTGAGTTTTGTTTTGTTATTACATTGAAATAACTGTTTTATAGCCACTGTTTCTTCTGAGATTCTTGAAGAAAGTTTTCCACCATGAAGTCAATGCCTTGGGTTATAAAAAATAAAAACTCAAAACACAGTCTAGACAGCATTCTCACATGTAAATGGGAGTTTTAATCTGAAAGCTCTACTAATGCCTAAGCCATAATAATGGCTGATTTCCTCAAAAAAACCCACCTGGCTACTTTCCCTGCAAAGAGCAAAATACTGACTTGCTTCCTGCAGGATTCTGTCAATCTTAGCAGTCTGTGCTGCTTATTTTCAAGCTCTGGGTAAAATATGCCCGTGAGAAAAGAGAAGTTTAAGTCTGAGTAGAGAGGAAACAAGAAGAGCTGCTTCAAAAAGACACTGTCAGATGAGCTCAGTGTCACTTATTTTCTCTTTTCTGTATTTTTACTCTGCTTTCACTTCACAAAAAACCACCTCAAGTGAACAGAACATGTCAGCAGGTAAATTAACCTAAACAAAAATTTCCAGTTTTAGCTCATAACTCTCAGACCTGTTGTATTTGCCCTCCCTGACATGAAAGATGATGGAAATACAATAAAACTAAATAAGGAGAATTCCCCTCCACATAAGGGCAGCCCATTTTTATTACATTAACTTGAATGATCCAGATCCAGCCTAGTTCACTGTACTTAATGAATTCTGACTTCAAAGGCTCCAGTTCCCTCTAATCAACATCTCTCTCCTTTTCAATCCCAACAGAGCAGATGCAAAGCCTCAGAGACAAATTCTGCTCATTCTCTGTGTACAGTGGAGTTTCACTTTCAAGAACTAATCAAGTCTGTAGTACTGCTGGTATCATAATAGTGACACACTCTGCTCCTGACAGGCAAAATGCATCTTCTAGTGAAAAGCTGGCTTGAAAACTAAAATCCCTCTCCAATACCAAAGGGCAACTTGTGCTGTTATCTGTAACAGATACAGTCAATGCCAAAAGGATGCCAAATTATTAGAAATTTCCTCAGCTAAGCCAAAAGTTATGTCAGTGAGATGTTTTAGAAAGCATGACTTTCACACAGTCACAGACATAGGTGACTGAATTCTTTCATTTACAGTGAAGACAGGTACAGAACTCACACCTGGATTCTAACTTTCTCTGGGAAAGGTGTGAAGGGAGTTTAATACCTGATACTGTAGCTTTTCCTGCCACAGGTGTTGCTGTAGTCATCAAGGAAGCAACACTTACAACACTGGAAGTCGCAGTCTTATTCACTACTGATGAAGTAGCCTGGCTCTGGCTTACACAGATTTGGTGCTGCTGTCCAGGTGTCTTTGCTGCAGGAGTTCCAGAAGATGATGAACTGGAAGCTGCATTATCTGTTTGCTGCATAAGAGGCAGAGAGGGATAACAAATCCCTTTCCATGTCACAGGTGATTCAAAAATAAGCATAAGGTAATATAAGTAATATAAGTAGCAAACCCAAATTTTTAATTATCAATTATTGTTAGGAAGCAAGAGATTCTTGAGCTCATATCCAAAAGCACACACACAATGATGGCACATACAGAATGGAGGCTGTGGCAGCATGGCATCAACTCTCCACAGGCATGTGGGAGGCACAGATTAGGGGCTCATAGAAAGAAACAGGCTCAGAGTGAATTCCACACTCGTCATTTTGCTGCCCCCTCCCCTCTCCATGAACTGCAGCTCCACTCCAGTGGACAGCCTGCATCAATTGGATCCATGGCTGCATCCACACACAAAGGCTTTCACTTTAGGAATGCAAACATTCTGTCTGCTGCCTCCCACCGTGCCAGAGCAGCTCCTTGCCAGGCTGCAGTGCCACAGCTGCCCTGGGTGGAGGGCAGTGCCAGGCTCAGGCCAGGGCCAGCACTGGGCAGGGCCTGTGCCCTCAGCAGCACCCACGGGCTGCTTGGAGCTGCTTGGTGCAAGAACAGCAGTCCCACCAGCGAGCTGAGAACACCTCAGGGGAGAAAAGCAGCACAAGTCCTTTCCTGGGACTGTGGTGGCAGGAGTGCAAGCACTGCATTAGAGAACACTGGAGTGCTGTGTCTCACCTGGGCCACGCCGTTGGTGGGGAGGGCCACGGCAGGAGCAGCAGCCGTGGTGATGACACCCCCTGACACTCTCAGCACAGTGGTGCCAGGTTTGGAGAGCTGGGATGAGGCAGGCACTGATTTTATAGACCCATCTGATATTTTCACCAGTGATGTCTGTCCAGTGGATGTAGCCTTTGAGAAAGAATGCAGCATAAGGAAAACATATTAGTTAGGGTTTTAAATTATTTTAAAAACACAAATCAAAATAGAATTACAACAACAAAACAAACAAGAGAAATGTTTTTTATATTATCAGAAAATATTTTCAAAATACTTTTGACAAAAATCAAATTCTGGCAATAATTGCTGGAACAAAATTATCACCTCAGAAATCAACTTTGGAAGTTTTGACTTCGTAAATATATGTCCACCAATCTACCGATCTTGAATTTTGGATAATCAATTGCAAGTACTCTTAGGGCATTTGAATTTCAGACTACTTGGTACTTTTTAAAAGAAGGATCTCTGAGAGGTACCAAACCCAAAGATTTTTAAGAGCTTTAGCAGGTGACCCATTTCTAAAGTTCAAGTATTTAACTACCTTTTTGCACCTGACTCTATTCACTTTTCCAATTCCATTTCACTAAGAATCCCAGATCCCATTTACAAGGCAGCAACCCCAAGCTTACACAGATTGCAAGGTGACTCCCTCTGAGGAGAGAAAACTGGAAATCTGTAGTCTGATGAAAGTAAGCCTTTGTGTGCTTTCCTCACTGTAGTACAGCCAGCACCACAACTGTATAAAACCCCACGTCAAACCAACTAGAAAAGGAAATTCTCTCAATAATGTGTGGCTGTGGTTCCTGTACTTTATCTGACAAAACTAGTAAGAGAGAAACATATCAGTTGCACATTACCTGTGTAAACAGAGCTGTTTTCTGCCCAGTTATCACTTTTAGGGCTTGTCCTTGTGTGGAAGATGCTCCAACTCCTACACTGCCCTGAACAACTGATGCTGGAGTCAGCTGCTTCCCAGAGCCCTGGGGTGAAGGCTGGCCAACCAGAAAGGTGCCCTGCTCAAAAAAGAAATCATGGAGGTCAGCACTTTAAAACACAGTTAACAGAAATCTAGGAGTGTCAATAACAGATAAAAGCTTGTGGCTGTGATGTAACCACAACATTTCATCTTCTGAAACAAAGCACTGCTAACTACACTGGATACTCCTGCACTAAGAGCTGGATACAGCCTTTTTGCTGCAGAATACCTTCTAATGGAAGCAGAGCAGGAGAAAAGTCAAATAAGACCCAGATACCAGAGTCCCAGAACGTTTCACATTGTACAGAACCACAGGACAGGCACCTAACAGCCCTGCCTGAAATGCCAGTGTCCTTCCACTGCGATGTGCCACTGACCTGGGGTGTCTGCTTCAGGATGTAGGATGTATAGGTGAGGTGCTGTGACAAGTTACTGCTTGTGCTTTGGGTTCCACCTCCTCCTCCTCCTCCACTATTCGTAGAAGAACCAGACTGAAGACCTGTAACCAGAGGAGAAAACTTAACTATTTGGTAACCAGACAGTGCCAGCTGCTAATGCATCCCTATATATACAAGTACTTGAAAAGGCTTTGCCAGACATTTGGTGCCATGTGTTTTGAAGTAAAGTAATGTTATTATTCAGTAAAAAAGAGTTCACCTATGCTGCTGTGCTATCTTACAGCTCAGCTAATGCCATGAACAAGAGGAGCTGTTGGGGAGATAAGAACGGCTGGTGGAGAAGCAAAGCTCATTTCAGGCTGTTCTGAACTTTCTATGAAATGAAAATGCCGTCCAACAAAAGAACAATCTTTTCATCACTCTTTTGCAGGTCATGGATCTGCAGCAAAAGCTCTGCTGCAGAGTGGAAACACTCTGAATCTCACTGTCTTCTTAATTTTAATTTCACTGGCTGTCAGTGCAGTTTTGTTAACATAATAACAGATCATGGATACCAAGCAGTGGTAATTTGCAGTGCTACTTTGATATTGCTCTGTCTCCAGAAGGAACAGCCTGAACAGCGATTTTTTGCAGTCTCTCATTAATAAACAAGGGTCAAAAAAATATTCATGGCTGTCATAAACATCACAAGTATCTGATCTTCCTTGCTGCCAATGAGTTCATCAAAGTTGGACTGCCCCAGCCGCAGGTATTACACTGGGAGTTCCATTCACAGGCCTATTAACCAAAAAACCATTTCTGCACTGAGAGCACAGCATGAAAAGCAGTTTCACTGAGAACAAAAGCCACTTGTGAGATCTCAGCCTTAAAAAGCACCAGATATGGGTTGTTGTGAACAAAGAAATCCTATCCCACTACTGATTTCCACAGCACCAGGATGCTTTCTAGCAAAAATGCCAAACATATTAATTATGCAGTGATTACATTATTTAACTCATTAGATTTCCCTGCAAGACTAACTAGCATTATTTGTGGCTCGCAGTATGGCTCCTTGGGGTATCAGCAGCAGTTTTCCTTTCCCAGAAGGGTTCTTGCTGTTGGTGGTGAGGTACAGCTTGGTGCCTGGTGGTAAGTTTGCCAAGTTTGCCAGGTTGGTGGCTGGTAACTGCAGTGTAGCCATCACTAGAAAGAGAGAATAAAAAGGAATAAACCAGCTGCTTGCAGAAAGTAGTATGCACTGAAATCTGCACAGGATGGAAGTACTCAGTGACATGCAGCCAGCCCTCAGTAATCCCTACTTAGCTGCTCTAACTGCAGATTAACTCCACCAGCAATGCACAGACACATTTTTTAATAGGTCTGAAAAAAAATCTCTCTGTGTGCAGTCCCACTTGTGGCTGCAGGCCAAAGCAGCACAGCCATGGGGTCTGCAGTCTTCCTGCAGCCCCAGGTACCACACAGGGGGCTTCTGCCCATACTCCTGCACATGTAAGCACTGGGGAAGATGTGGGGATGAAACAGGGACACTTTGGCTCTGGCTGGCTGCATTCAAGGGGAAAGGACCATAATGCCAGGCCAAAATGTGAAACCTGGCTCCATGAAAGTCTACAAGGTCTCCTGCACCTTCCCCAGAATATCCATCTGGTCTCCAGTCCCAGAACACTGCATGTTTTAAAGCACTTGTGCTCCCTCTTCCCCCTTATAGATAATGAATTAACATTTTCTTTGTTATTAATCTCAGCCTGAATTTTCCAGAGAGCTCTCTACTCACTTCCAAATTTTTCAATCACACACAGTTATTTTGCAGTTGAATACATCATTATAGACCCACCACTAGCTATTAACAGGGTATAAAATCACTCTACCTGAGCCTTGAGATGTACTTTTCAGAGCCCCTGTGGAAGAAACTTGTGCCTTGGTTATAGTCTGCACGGGCTGAGCCACAATTGTCCCTCCACCTCCACTCACGATGGCTTTGGCTACACCTTGAGTCACAACCTGCTTGGAGCCAACAGCCTTTGCCACCGAGGAGCTGGACTTTGCCACAAGGATCTGGCCACCGCTTATTGCCACCGCTTGTTTCACCGTCGACTGCAGCGCAGAACCAACGGGAACGCCAACAACCTGCAACAAACAGGGATGGCACGGGAAGGGAGGGGATCCTGCTGGCCACAGCATCCTGGGAATCCTGGCTGCTACACCACCTCCATCTCCAGACATTTCAGGACGTGCCTGGTCATGAACAGAAGCTCTTCATGCAGGAACAAAATTAAATCGGCAAGAGGCCAATCCCAAACTGTTAAACCCAGTCAGATCTCAGAGTACCCACAAAAGATTAAGTTCATTCAAATCACAGGGCAATTCCTTTTTTTCCTCATTTATAAGCAGTGGCTTAATTCCAGCTGAAGATAAAGCTTGCCTTGGTGAATTAAAGAGATGTAGAAATTCAGTTTCAACACGTCCACGGGAACAGACTCCCTGGGAAAACTATGGCCTCAAAGCAGAACCCACAAAGTGCTTTGACTTTATGTGTTAATGGTAATTGCAGTGGAACGTGAGTTTTTGCATAACTGCTCAAATGGCAAGAAAGGCAGCAAAAAGAACAAGGAAATGTTGCAAATGCAAAAAAAGTATTTACTTATGCAAACGTGGAAGTTCTGTATGTAATCTCTAGTGCCTGGCACATCATTTGGCTCTGTCCACAATGGAAAGAGACAAGAATGGAGACAATTTCTGACACATCTGTCATCTTGTCACTGCACTGTGCCTTCTCAGAAGCTATGTCACTCCTGTCAAAGCAAGACTGCATTGGCACCACTCCTACAGTAAAATGTTTGAGTTGCCACTCAAGTAGGACTGCTTTCACCTAATCCTAGCCTCTACCTCACTCCCTATTTGCGCTGTTCTGTAATGTTGCAGGCCTGCACTCGTGGTAAAGAAGTCACCTTCTCTTATGGAAAGACCTGGATGAGTTTCAGCAAGACCTGCTGATGGCAGCCAGTGTCCTGTGTTGACAGAACAAAAACACCTGCATGCACCCCACTGCTTCAACAGCCTGGACAGAAGTGGGCAATGTCCCTATACGCAATAAAATGCAACAGTAAATAAATAAAATGTACAATAAAATGCTTCCACTACATGGAAGCAGGCCACTCTGCACACAGGAACCCAGCGACCCATGGTGCTGCCAGCTGGGAGCGAGGCAGGAGCGACCCTGCTCCCCTGGGAGAAGCACCAAGGGCTGCAGTAACAGCACGAGACAGCTCCCAGCATCCCAGAGAAGCCCAGGTGTCCCTTACCTTGGACTGCACCGTCCCCTCGCCACTGCTCACGACGGGTTTCTGCGGGGACAGGGCCAGCATGTGGCTGCCCTTGACAGTGACGTACTGCTGCACCGAGGGCTGCGCCGCGCCCGCCGCCGGCACCGCCGCCTGCTGCGGCACCTCCCCGGGCTCCTGCTTGATTATCACCTGGGCAGGGCAGCAAACAGTCACAAGGACAGCAAACACCTTGGATGCCTCAGGATTTTAATCTTTATGTTTTTCGGATCCTGTACTGCATTAGTGCATAACTCCAAACTCCATACAGAGTGTTAGCTACTGTCTTCACACTGTGGTCAGGCAAAACAATCCCTCTGGGCCTGGAACCCAAGGACACCCTACAGCCCCAAAATTATAAACAAAAGTGAATGGGAGGGAGCAAACTGGGGTAAATCACTTCATTACCTGAAGCTGTAATTGGAGGATTAACCCCTGATATATGAATGGACCAAACTTTTAATTGTCTGAAAAACTGGTGCCCATTGTCCACCTTGGGTGCAGCCTCTGGGAGGCTTCTGATTGCCCAGGGTGTAGCTATTGAAGGCCTTCAATAAATACCCACTTTGTTCTCTGAATCTTGTTCAGCCTCTGTTCTAGGATAGCCACTCCAAGGCATTCCCTTCAACCACTGAAGATGGCTGTGGAGCAGGCTGTCTGCAGGCTCTGAACTCGGTCGTGGTGCTCACCACCATGGGCACTCTAATTCAGCTCCAAGTGAGGGCTGCTCCCACACAGCACTGGGCTGGTGTGACAAACTGACATAGAGACAAAGCAGTCCTGGAAATTACAGTCACAGCAACTGCTGGTAATGTTACAAGTACCACTCATCCTGACAAGGGACCTGGCCCGACCTGACTTCTTCAGATCCTGCAACTCCACACGGAGCCACAACACTTCAAGGTTTCAAATTCATGTTCTGAACCTGTTTTTTATTCCTATCCTGGAATGTTACAACCAATTGCTATAGACACTGTAAATGATTATAGCTGACATACACACATTCTCTTATGTTTTACATTTTCTCTACGTCTAACCTTTAAGGGCAGTGACACAAAAAAGCCTCTTTAGAGTATTTTTTTTCCTATTAGATTGTTGTAGATACTGTAACTGGTAGGAAGCATTCTTTCACCTTTTACTTGGATCATTTAACATTGACAGAAACAATTTTATATTCCATGTGGTAGTATTTAAGGAAACAGCAAGATCTGAGATTCACAAATTACTGTTCTAATTATTTAAGAAGCTCCTGACAGATATATTGCAGTTTACTTCTACTGCATCCCATTAAAAATAGCTTTCAAAGTATCAGCCTGAACACAACAGTGATTCAAAGAAGAAACCCAGAAAGGACAGAAGAGTGATAAAAGGCAAGAACTCATGTACAGCAGAGCCACAGGGAAAGAAAAGAAAACAAGACACATTTTTGAGAGATGTTACAGAGCCCTTAGCAGCAAGGTACAATGCTTCCAGTAAGAGTTTTACAAGCACTGAAGCTCCATGGTTTTTGGCACAAATCAGCATGAAATGGTAATTTCAGCCACTAGGCTGCCTGTCCCAGCTCAAAAGTCAGGGAGGATACCTTTGTAAAAGCTCCCAGTCCTCCAGTGACCGATTTGGGGCTTTGAACCTTGGAATGACTCCCAATGGGACAAAGGGGTGGCATGGTGGCAAAAAGGGAATCCTCCTGCTGCAAACAAGACAGGGTGCAAAAATCAGTGATATGTCCAATAAAAGAAATAAAGCAAGTCACTGCTAATAAAGGGCAGAATGGACCATCTGAGCAGGCCAAATTACCTGTGCAAATAGGATATTTCCAAAAATCAGTCAACACTTGAGTAAAAGGAGTCAAACTTTTTTAACATAACTCACAAAGGAAATTTTAGCTGGCACGTTACATCTCCAACAGCAGTAACTGTTTCTTACCATGTCATACACAGGCAAAAATATCAACTCATGTTCTCTGATCAATTTTTTATATAAAAGTATTTCACTTAAAATTCAAATAGGCTGAGGGGCATCTTATCAATGCATACAAATACCTGTTAGGAAGGTGTAATGAAGGTCAAGCCAGGCAAAACTCAATAGTATCCCATGCAAGGACAGAGGCAGTGGGCACAAATTGAAATACAGGATATATAATGAAAATTGTTGTTGATGATGGTGACCAAACAGAGGAACAGGTTGGAGAGGCTGGAAACTCTTCAGCCTTGAAGATACTCAAAACCCAAGTGACACATTCCCAAGGAAGCTACTCTATTTGACCCTGCTTTGAGTTGGGAGTGGTTGAGCTCTTGAAGTCTCTGCCGACCTCAATAATTTTGTGATTCTATACACAATCTCTGAGAGAAGAAGTGTAAGAAGAAACAAGTTATGGAGGGAAATATTCTCTAGGAGGAGTTCATGCTCTCCTCTAACTGGAACGATGCAATGGCACACAATCCTTCCAGAGAGAACTCACCATTTGGCAGAAACAACAAACATTAGGTAAAAAACATTTCATCATCTGCACCTGGCACTTCTGGGTCTGAGGCCAGTAGAGAAGTGCATTTGAGGGAGTTTGTTACAGTGCAACTGCTCTCTTTTACAGTCAACGTGAACCCCAAGGCCATGGTTTTACAATCACTTGGCCCATTCTTGGGCTGGATCATGAGCAGAAATCAGGTCCTGCAACTCCTGGAATCTTCCTTGTACTGACACACGTGGCTGGAAACATGAGTTTTCACACAGGTTGGCTTCTGCTCTGGGTCACCACACAGCTGCAGAACTGGTGGCAAATGGGAGGTGTGAAGACAAGGCTAGAGGCACAGCCTGTCCTCTCCACTGCAGCTGCATTTGAGACCGGCTGCAGAAATACAGCCTGAAGTCATTAAAATAAATACAGAAAAGTAGCACACAGTGAAGAGATGAAAAGTGGTGAGTTATGCACAACCTGTAATATCCCACTGAACTATCAGGCACACTCTTCTCTTCAAAGAAACCCTAAAATTACACCCTTTTCCACCAACCAGAAGACATAAATCAAGTAACATTTCCGCTTACAGAAGTATGACTTTTATGGGTTTTTAAAAATACCTTCAGTTTTTAACATTGCCCTGGAAATACAAAATTCAGCTGTTACTAACCATGTGTGCCTACTCTGACTCCTTGAAAACTTTTCAGAAAAAACTGTCCCAAATCAGTGAAAAATAAAGAATAATTAACTATTTTCAACAGTTAAGTGAAACCCATCTGAGCACACAGGTTTTAAAAATCTGACTAGCCAGCTGCACACCTGTCACTAAAAAAGCCACTCCAAACTAACTGCATCAGACAAGTCTGTGACACCTTTTCCCCAGCAGACACAGTAACATCTCAGCTCCAAAGATGAAGTGATTTGCTCCCTGCAGGCTGACTGGCAAGCCTTCCCCCAGCATTTCCTGCTTTAACACTGAGGCTTGGAGACAGGGAAATGCTCCTGTTTCCAGCAGCACACCCACCAGCTGCTTTCAGAGCCTCGCTGACGCCACTTCCCTGCCAGAAATATCCTTAGCACAAGATGAGGGAAAGATTTTATGTGAGACAGTTCAGCTCTGTACTTTTTGGGCTTTCCAGATCAGAAGCATGAACTGTATTTATTGCTGTTTGTTTACACATCCAAATGTTACTCCACTGTTTACACAAACATTTTTCTAAATCCAGGCAGTTGTAAAACCACTACATGAGTTATTTTCAGGCTGCTTAGAACAGCTGCTGTACAAAAATAATGAACAGAGCAAAGGTTTTGAGGTAGGCATCTCTGGTTTAATCACACTCTGTGACTAACAAAGTGAAGAAGATCAAAGGCAGCTACAGAAGAGCTCTTTTGAAAGATAAAACGTTTGGGGAACTATGCCCTTCATGGATTTCCTTGCAGAGAAGTAGAAGTGCCTTTAACAAATATGCAGGCAAGCCTAGTTAGAGCTGCATAAGTGACACTATCATCTTGTATAAGCACCATGTTCTCCTATGGCTCCATCTGTTACACAGTAAACCTTCCCAGGAAATGACAATCCAAGAACTTGCCTGAAGTGCAGAATTTTTAATGCTAAAAAGAAAGCAAGCTGGACTTTAAAAGGGAAGCACACACCTAATGAGAACATTACCTTGACAGCTGAGGTGCCAAAACTGCTCCCATGGGTCTTTGACACAGGAGATCCGTGAGAGGCCTGACAGACACTGCTCAGTTTGCTGGTCGGGCTCCCTGCACAGCAGGAAATAAAGCAGATGCTGGTGAGGGCTGGGAGTAGGGCCACTGCACACAAGAAACCTCTTCTAACAAGGAACAGGGCATTTCATTTAATTTGCATTCTCCATCAGGTACACCAGCAGGAACCAACATGGGCACAAGGCAGATCCACCACCAAATTTCCACCTGCAGGAACCAAGCCCCAGAGAAGATGCTCTCCAGCCACTGCTGTGTGCTGTAAGCAAATGGTCAGGGACCTTCCTGGTTGGCTGAGGATATCAGCTATGGCTGCAAATATGTGAAACTAGGACAGGTGCAAAGTCCTCTGCTGCCCAGAAGCCCCCTGAACCCACGCTAGCCTTGGACACTGGCATGGAGGAAGGCTGGGAGAGGGAAGGAAAAGAAAGGCCACAAAAGGAGGGAGACAAAGTGAGGAGTAACAAGAGCAAAGGACAGAGTGAGGAAGGTAAAGGAAGAAACAGAAACAAGGAGTGAAGGCATAGAGTCATCTGTGGCAGATGCTCTTGAAAAATTATCAAACTGACATGTGTGCCACATCACTCTCCTGGCCCCAGGTTGGACAGGGGTCCAGTGGGAAACTTGCTCTGCCTTATCAGTGCACAAGAATGCTCCTCAGCAGCTTTGTGACTGCTGCTGTTGGGCGGGTTTAGCAGTTTTGTTTGTTCAAGAGACTCCAAAGCCAAGGATTGCACACATGAAAGCAAAAAAACCAGTGTCTCATACAGTTGTACTACAATCCACACTTGAGTTTAGAAGTAAATGAACAACCATTTCTGAGAATAAAGGCTTTGGGAAGACTGGCTTTCACAGAGTATGAAGATCTCACCCCTTTTCTTAAATACAATCTGCAGCCTTATCAAAAGTGCCCCAGTGACCTTTTCCTGTAATACAAATTATGCTCAGTCCAGCCTGGCTCCTGTTGTCAAAAAGTCAGTTCCACAGACCCTCCTGCACCTTCACACAGGGTCTGCTGAAGAGGATTTCACAACAAAGTTGTCTGGGGAGGTGAGGGTATCAATTTTCTGCTCTGCCACTGATGTGATCTGACTTGTGCAGGATACAGGGGAGGCACAGCAGTGCAGGGAGGGAGAGGCAGCAAGCAGTCTCTGCCAGGCCAATCTGTACATCTCCACGGTGGTGGGAAACTGCAGCTTTAACAATAACTGCACTTTAACTGCACTAACACTTGTACATCCCAACGATCTGGTGCATCTGCACATCCTATCCTCCATGTACAAACATCTATTAGAACCCAAAAGTTACCCAAACCATGATAGACCACTTAGGCAGAGAAGACAGTAAGGCTCGAGGTGAAGAAACAGAAAATAAGAGGCAGAAATCCCTCAACTAATAAAAAAAAAAAAAAATAATCAAACCCTATTGGTGAAACAGTATCAGTGTTACCAAGAAAGCTCAAAACATACTTAAAACTCAAACACTGCTAAACAATTCCTACCAATTACCCTACCAATTCCCTCTGTGATGAAGTTCAAATGAACATGACAGCTGTATTCCCTCAGATAAAGGGAGGAAGCACCAATAAAAAGAATTTTTGTGTTTTCCAACCATGTCCAGCAAACAGTTTGTGTTCCATGGATGCTGCACTCCCTCACTTGGCCCTGGGCATCCTGCTGCGATGCTGGGAAGTACACACATACACAAACAAGTGTGTTTTAAAATAGACAGCAGTTCTTGGCCACATATCACAACAAACAAATAACTTCTGAGGGACCTTTCCTCCACCCCAACACAAACATTACTGACTGATTCTTCTATCCATCAGCTGTGTCCTGCACTTCAGCTCTTCCTGTGATTCCTTCTTCACCACTGAGGGAATCCAGTGAAGAGTAATCCAAACCAGCTGGAGTTGGACCAGCTAGAAGCTGAGGGCAGTAACAAACTCCAGCATGGCTGTTCTCCTGGTAACCAGGATCTCTGCATTTCAACACATCTACTGTGCCCCACATTGGGACCTAAGACTGATCTGCCAGTGACTGCCACCTCTCCCTGCTCTTTGTCACACCCACACCAGCACTGTTACCCAACCACCTGTGCACTCCTTCTGTCTAAAGCTGTGCAACACAGTCTACATCACTCTCTGCCCTTCCCCTGTCACCTGAAAACAACAGGCTTTCTTTGAAGAGGTGTCTGTGACTTGAGTTTGGCTTCACACTGTGCTGTTTCCTGCACAATGCTCAAGCCTGAGATACCCTCAGCCACGCACAAAGGCCAGCTGTGCACACCTTCCCCTTTCTCTGCTGGGCACTCTTCCATCTCCACGAGCTGAAACGCTGCAGTTGTGCTGATCATTCTGAAGGGAGAACAAACCTGTATAGGTGAGACTAAGCCACTGCCTTCTGTGGTCACACTACACACCTGAGCTTGTGGCTGCTGCTCCAACCGTCTGTCCAGGCTTGTCCACAATAAGATAGGGGTTATTGAGGACTGAGCTGGCAGAGCCTTGCTTCATGTGCACCGGAGTGGACGTTGGGGTACGAGGTAGCGGAGATGGACTAGGGGTCGATATTGGAGAACCTTAAGAAAAAAAGTCCAATGCTTCTAGCTTGTAAATGTTGTCAGAACATAAAAACATGGCAATAGCAGCACTTTTGAAAATGGCTTAGGAAAGGAGCGTTTTTTGAGGATGCATTTCTCAGCCTGAGTGAGGTCACGGGACTTGGAGAACGATAGAGAAGACAAAAGGAAAGAAAAAGGCACATAAAGCACTATGGCTCAAACCTACCCTGGACATGCTCTGCCTACCAGGACAAGCAGGGCTCAAAGGGAACTTGAGAAGCCACCTGGTTCACCCCTGAATGCTGAGGGATACATCATTCTCACTGCCAAGACCAGTGCACCCAAGGAGATGGAGAATGAGAGCTGAACTGTCTCGCCCTTGTGCAGGCCAAGGTACAGGCACTGAAGAGTGGGAACCAAGGAGTTCCCCTAAAAAGGCTGTGTGGAACAGCCTCAGGCAGCAGGAACACCCAGGTCCCTCACGGCTCTGGCCCCTTCACTGCTCTCACTACAGCAGAAACCCTGGAAATCAATCTGTAAAATGGGCAGCTTCTGGGTAACATGGGCAGGAGAGAGAGAAACTAGAGAAGAAAAAAGCTGCATGAATAGGTAAACAAGAAATTCGGAGAAAAGGACTGGCAAGGAAGTGATCAGAGAAAAGAGACAGAAGCAAACACCAAGCTTCACCTACATTTCAATCTACTTTCTTGGCAGTTACTGACAGAACATAAACGGTCATCAAATAAAATCCCCATGTTTTATAAACTGCTTCGAGATCTAAAAGGGGCAACCCTTTTCAGCAGATAGCAGAAGCTTTGAAAAATGTTTAGCAGGGAAACATTTAAATAGCAAAGAACAACAAAGAAGAGTCCAAGGACTTTAGAAAAGATAGGATGGCCCCCTAATTCCTGCTTTCTAGGAAGCTTTGGGAAAAGATCAAGAGAAGAGCTTACAAAGAAAGAATAAAGCACTTGGCATATGTTCAAGTGAAAATCAACCTGAATAAAGTTTTAAGATGTCAATGAACAATATTGAAATTTAATTAAAAACCAAAACAAAACAACAAACCAGACACACTTTAAGAAAATTATCTCGGACCAGGTCACCAGAAATCACATTTACTGATAGTTGGTGCTTCATCCTCTCCTCCCTGAACACCAGAAAACAAAAAGCTGCAACAGGTCACCTTGCAGCTTCACAGCATGTGCCATGGTAAGCTGTACATTAACACTTTCTGATGTAAAACATCCTTCAGTGACTGGCACCACACCCAGGCAGGGAAGGGACAAGTGAATGAGCAAAGCAGCACTTTGGCCATGTTTGGTTTAGAAGCTGTCACACTGCCCACTGCAGCCAGCTGGCAATTTAATCCAACACAGGGTGGACTTCTGGAAGACAAGACCAGAGCTGCTCCATCTGATGCAATATGGCAAGCACAAGAGGGTGTATTTGAGTCTGCAAGGTTAAAACTAATTATTTGCTCAGTAATCAAGGAAAAAAAAATCTTCATCCATCCCAGCTGTATGAAAGCAATGGGGAGACGAATGGACTCTCCCCACATACAAAATATTCCACATGGAAGATGTGTTTTTGCCTGGGCCTTTCTGTGGGCAGCAGTCCATTTCAAGACTATCTATTTCACACTTAAAATCGTTCAAGAATAGGGAGAGAACAGCTCTCATCCTGCTTTTCATCTGTTTCGAACCATTATTTTTTTCATTGAGCACTAAGCGTGCTTAGCTCCTTATTCTAGAGTTTCCTACTGTCTGATGCTCAAAGACTGGCAGAAAACCAAGGGAAGGACACAGAACAAGTCCAACTGGTTCTCTCCTGTTCTCCAGGGGGAGGCACTCGGGTAAGTAAACTAACATTCACCTGATACAATCTTGCAACTCATGGTGATAGGCTGGAAGGATTTTCCTGGTGACTCTGCAGGGCTTGGACTCTGACCTTGAGGCACTATTTTACAGCTAGCTGCAATGGGTTGAAAGGCTGAATTTCCATGAGAGCCAAAGGCAACTTTCTGTGTGGCTAACTTGGTGGGAGTCCGTTCTATGGCGGATGGCAGGGAATAAAACGCGGCATGTCTTTCGGTGTCAGCATTCCCAGAGAATCCTGATCAAAACAGGGAAAAGAACAGAAATACTTCTTAGGCTGACACATCTGATTCCTTACTGTGCTTCTCTACACAAGCATAATCCAGGTATGACAAACATGTTCTTGAAGGAAAGAAGGAAAAAGCAACTGGTGGGAAGCATTGAACGGGGAGAAAGTGAGGGAGGGGATTACTCCTGCACAGGCCTGCTGGATCTGCTGGACAAGAAGAAAAAATGATGCCATGCACAGCCTGTTCAGCTGTGACAGGTCATCAGCCACTTCTTACACATTTCCTTGGAATGCCCTTCCACTGCCCAAAAGCTGCTGCTACTTCCAAGTGTCCTTGGTTAGGGCTCCACAGGGCCAAGGCTGGACCTCCTTTGCAGAGAATCTCGCAGTGAATTTTTTGGAGTAAGAGCCCAGGAGACCAGAGACTGCCTTTTGAGCTGGGCTATGGAATCCACTTTATTTAGTGTTCAAGGACATCAATTAACCTGGAGATGCTGAGAGAAGCCACTGGCTGTCAGTGTAAAAAGGAAGTACTTCCTTCCTGTTGGCTGTAGCACTGCTCACCTAAAGAGGCTATAAATCTTCTTGTTTGAATAAAAAAAACTATGTGTTTAAAATTTGGTTGTGTTTGTCCTTCTTTGGCCACAACAAAAGACCACATTTTAACAGCAGACATCCTTCTTGCTGAGCCTGAACACCACCAATGGCACCACAGAGCCTATCAGGAAGCACAACCATGCATGGCACCAGCTTACAGCCACTCCTTGAACACAGGAATGAGGGAATAAATCGAGAAAAGCATCAGCCCATGCAGCATCTGACACTATTTTGAAATATAACGTGGCTGTATCCAGAAGTTTTCTCACAGCAGAATTTTCTGGTACCAAGGGTACCAAAAAACAAAGCTAAATGCCACCAAGGCATAGCTCTTCCTCTTTGACACAAAGTACAAATCCCACAGGGGCCAGCACTGCTTGTTCCAGGCAATCCAAGTCCCAAGGCCTCAACTGCTGCCCCACTGCAATGGATCCTGACTTTCCTGATCTCTCATGGGAAGGGGAAAATGAAAATAAGACCCCAATGTGTAGAGATGCCACTGTCCCTCAGACCAACACACACTTCTTCACTCTCTATTCTCCACAGTACAGTAATTACAGATACCGAGGGATTTTTGTTCCCTCACAGTCAGCTCATGTTAGGCACTAACATATATAACTGAACACACCAGTAGACCAATTCCTCAAATGTACACACAGTGTCCAAAGCATTCAGAAACCTAAAATCCCCTCTGAAAATAGTCTGCCAAAGCCAAAACTACAACTGCTATTCAACCAGCTTTTTCCCAAGTGCATCTGCCTTTCCTTATTCACTACGTTTTATCAGAACAGATCCTGTTCAACAAACTTCAGATTAAAAACCCAAACAAAACCAAAGCAAAGCCCAAAACCAAATAATCTATAACAATTTCTGAACCACATTTCAGAGCACATTAAGGAAAATATGATCTGGGGTGAGGTAGCACGGGCAACCCTTAAGGCATAAGAGCAATTAAGAGCCAGAGTTCCAAGAACTTGCATTTCACTGACACCCATTTGCTTTACCTTTGTCCACAGAAGCATCTGGGCTGGAGTCCCTCAACTGTTTAATTGGTGAAGAAGCTTTGACTGGTGCTGGGATATTCAGTGGCAGTGATAAAGATGTAGGAACATCAGAAAGGTCAGACTCTGAAGACTGGGAGAAGAGATATTCCTCCCCAAGGGAATGCCTGTGAAGCTCCACATCCACTACCTTCCATAAACAGGAGACAGGACATTAGTATTTAGTAGCTTGGTAAAGATATAAAAACTAAAACCAATGATGCCTTTTTATTTTAATGCCTAAAAACCTCTCTCTTTGTTTCCCCCAACTCTATGTAACATTTCCATTTATTTAAGGGACAACTCCCAAAGGTCCAGAAGTACTTGAGCTATAACAAAAATCTTGCAACATTGCAGCCCCACAGTAAAACACATCTTGGTCCATGGGGAAATCTGAACTGTAAACACTGGAAGGATATTGAAGCCCAGCTCTAAGCAACCCACTAAAGAAAGGACTGCACCTCCCTGTAGGGACAGGCACAAAACTGAAGCCTGCCTTTTCTGGTAAGGCCTTGAGAAATACCCCACATGATCTACTCTTCAAAAGTGTTCTTTAATAACAGTAGACATTTCACATTAATGTTTTCTCCACAAACTGAAAAGCTGAAGTAATGCAATTTAACCATAAAAATTTCCACTCACTACAGTACAAGGGGAAAAGAGCATCAAGAACACTTTAAAAATTTAGCAAACTATGGATTATTAATTAATTTATTTATTTCAAGAGTTCATTTTCCATTAAAGTCCTGAATCTTGACAGATACAGAAACTTAGAAGTACTTAATATACTGCAAAATTTCAACAGAATAGTTGGGTGATCTCTTGAGCTTAAATTCTTTATGTGTAAGCTCTGCAGCAGATCAGAATACAAATCAGAACATTTTGTACCAAAAGCTTCACAAAGCAATAAAATTTAAAGCTCCAGCACAAGTCAAGTTCTTTATGAAGGAAGAGCTGGAAACAGTCTCCCCTGAACTAAGAAGGAAGAAAAATGACTGTTGTCATGAATCTTGACAAGGTGTCATAATCCTTTCATTCAACAAGCAAGAAAAATCCACATTCTAGAAACTGTGAAATCAAATGGGTCTGACTCTGTGCTTAGCCCCAAGTATCTTTTATTTTTAAACATCTTGAAGGGAATCAAATCCATCCCATAACCCTCTGACTCACCGTTTCTGCACCAAGTGTCTGCAGGCCTGTGTAGGTCCTGTCCAGCTGGAAAAGACAATACAATATTTTAGCCAGAGCAAAGCATTATATTAACTAGAATTTACAAGAAATTGTTTGAAAGAAATCTCAACCTATGCAAGGTGAGCAGCAGTGCATCCAGTATTCTGAGGCCATAAGGTCAGAAATCTGTGTGCTAAGTGCCCTCCCTCTCTTCTGCAAAAAATTCAGCCATGACCCAAGGCCCACACTAAAGTGGAAAGGAGTAAAAAAGTTGAAGGAAATGAGATTGTTGAGGGAATATTTCCATTTAAGAGGAGTCCTCAAGCAGTGTCTTTTATTCCTGATGTCAATATAAGGAAACAGTAATGAGAAATACTCTGAGCTTTCAACTGACCAGCACAAAGGCTGTGTTTACACTATAGTTTTTGATTAAGTAAGTGTTCACACCAAGCCATCAGCTGATAAAAAGGCATAACATCCCAGAGGCACCTGTTAAGACACCTGTAGAAGCAGCTGTGTTTGAGAGGTGTAGGATGTGCCAGAGCTCAGGGGCACAAGGGGTGCCAGGCAGACAGGAGAGCTCAGCTCACTCTACATCCTCACAGCAGCCATAAGCTCAGTGTCAGAACAGCAAGATTTGCTGATCTGAACTCCTGCAGGCCATGGACTGGCTCAGTTTTCTTCTGTAGGCTGAGTTTCCTTCACCATCCATCCCTGTGTTACTAATTTCCCCCCAAGTCACATCTCCCCGAATATCTTTTACTCACCATCTACATTACATGTCCCTAAGCTGCAGGGGAATATTTTCAACCTCCTCTACTGTCTATATTTAGGGTTGCAATGAAGTATCTTATTTAGCAGGAAATTCATCAATGCAGGCAGAGTTCAAATAAAATTAATGCTGCTTAAAGAAAGAGGAGACTAACCCAGCTCAGGACTTAAGTCCACCAATGCCAGGAACTACTAATTAAAAGGAAAACGAGCAATGGCCTCGTTTTCCAGGACTGCTGCATACTAGAAATCCCAAGTGCTGCAGGGGTGAATGAGTTGGAAAAGGGAGCTCTCTTCAAAGGGAATAGGGAATCTCAGCCCTTCCTGCCCACTCTAACGACAAAGATAATCATTAGCTGATGTGTGCCTGTGCTGAAGGAACAGAACAGACATGGCAGCCACTCTTTCAGCAGAAAGACAGACCTGAAGCACCCTGTTAGGTTAAAGCCAATAAAAACATGATAAAAATCTCAAATTCTAGGGAAAAAGCCAGGTAAGCACTGCTGTTCTGAGCACATTCAGCTGCAGCTGCTGGAAGGCTGGGTTCTCTCCTACTGCATCAACTCCATACAGCCAAGGTAAGAGGCTTTCCTGGATCTATTTCAATTCTCCAGCTCAACTCTTCATGTGAAAATAACCACCAGGACACTCATAACACAGAGAGGCAAAAGCACATACACAAGCAGAGCCTCCTCTAGATTATGCATGAGAGCTCATTTAAATGCCTTTCTCTGAAGTAATTAGTTCAAATACCTTCAAATTGTGTATGATATCAATCCTTTTGTTCTGGCTATCCTTGAAGTGTATCTGCACTCTCACTGGGAATTCTCCCCAGCCTCTCCTGGTCAGGTGAAACGGAGGTTCTCTGGAAACAAATGGTGATTACATTTTGGTGCAGAAGTGGTACAGCTTTCACCTCCCTCCTTTTCAGAAAGCAAAAGACTGCTTTTCTATCTGACAACTAAAGCTATCATCAGGTCTGCTATTCACCACAGAGAGAGTGTAATCATAGCAATGAGAATTTTATGGCTTTGGACAGCTGAAAACACACTTTAACTTTACACAAGGGGACAGGGAAGAAAATGGTAAAGCACTGTTGGATGAGACATGTGGGAAACAAGTGTATTTTTAAAAAGAAGCCAAAAATGGGCTGTGCTATGTCAAATGAAAAACACTTGGTTAAAAAAAACCCAAGTCAGGCTCACTGCAAGGTGAGCTTCCAATGCAGCATTTTGCAATCACTGCCTGCTGCTCCCTATCTAGTAGCAAAAAGGCACGTGCCTCATCTAACACCAACAGAACAACACAGGGACAAGGAAAAGTTAATCACTGTCATTCTCCAAGCTGAAAAAGAAGGATCTGTAACATTTACTTCTATTCTGTATTTCAGCTTATTATTGTAAATGCAAATATGGTTTCTTCACCAGAAAAAACTGCAAGAGGTTTAAGGGCGATTTTTAGTCCAAAACATTAATACTCACTACAATGAATGGGACTGTAACACCAGGAATCTATTAACCAAATGGGATTAAAACAGAAGATAACCAGCACTGACAACTGAGAAAGGCACACAAAGAGAGTAATCAAATGTAATTTGGTATGTTACAGAAGAAATACAACAGAGTTTGCTTCTGTCGTGCTCAGGGTTGTCTTCCCAGAAACATTACTGAACTATACCAACACTTCTTATCTCAGGTAAATCTTCCTGGAGTTGCTTTTCAGTAGTTTAATTTTGCCATAATTAAGTTGCCATTCTGAACCTAAGCAGCCCTTCCCACACTCTTCCCTCCAAGAGGCAGCTGAATATTTGTGGAGAATAATTTCTTTGGGAAGACACCAACTATTTTAAAGGCATCCTCCCTCAGTCTTGTCCAAGGAGGAGGGATGGAAGACTGACAGGGCCCTTCCCAAGAGAGAACCTACCCCCACCAGGGTCACAGCTTGGAAAAAAGGTGTGGGGTACAGGTCTGGGAGAGCACCAGCACCATTACACTGATGGGAAAGTCCTCAGAGCACGAAGCCAATGCCACTGATCTCACACCATGGAGAAATATTTTGGAGTGGGATATTTATGCCCAAACACACATGTAGCATTGAAAATACGGGCAAATCAGATTTTGGAGATTCCTCTTTGTTTTGCACACTGAAATAGAGGGGTGGTAGAAACCCTTTGTTTAGCACCAGAAGCCTAACCTGAGCAGCAGATAGTGTATGTAACATATACAGGAGAGGCACAACCCACATGAACAGCAAGAAATGCAACAACTGAATGTTTTTCCTCAGAAGGAAATGAAAAAAAAACCCAAGCCAAGAAATCTGTTTGGCACATTTCCTACGTAAAAAAACTTATTTTTTTTTACTACTATTTTGGAGTAAGCCAAGTTAAGCCAGAGGTTAAATACACACATGGAGTATTAAACCAGGAAAAGAAGTTGTTAATTGGCACTGTAAGCCTGGCAAGCATGAAGACTGGAATAGTGACTGAAATAATTCCTTATTACCTCACTTCTACCAGGTCATTAGGTTTGTAACTGGGGTGGAGGAAGAACCAAACTTTCTTGACAAAATGATTTATGCTGGGTTCTCTCCGAGAGCCTCGGACGTACACCATCCACTTATGGGTTGACTGATCATTTTCTTCTCTCTTGTCAGGCGGAATGTACCTGGCAAAGAAATTAAATGACAAACACAAGATAAAAATCCCAAATAGACAAATACTGCAAAAAGTATTTTGGGAAAGATTATGCAAAAAAACTGAGGATGTTAAAATGCCTCTGGGAACCTTGCCCCCTGCACATTTCTGCTCATTCGTCCTTACTCTGACAGTTCATCCAGGAACAGATACAGGTCCCATAATCTACTCCAAGTTTCTAACACATTTCCTCTGTGTTTCCCTGTTTTAATGCACAACTGCCATATGACATTCACCCATTCAAATATTTGGCTTTTAATTAAGAAGATTTAATTTTAACATTCTACTACTGTCAAATTCCTTATCCTGTCCTATTCTGAACTATCAGGAAGCTAAACCACAGCAGAACACATCATCAAAAACTCTGCTACTATAAAAAAAAAAAAAATACAATTCTTCTTACCATTTTTAAAGCAACTTCAGGCAATACTTAGTTCTGGGTCCAGCCCTAGGTAGATTTTCAAGGAGCAATCCTGACTGTAAGTTTTGTCAGCAAATGTCTGAGATATTCTGTGCAAAAGACTGACTTGAGTAGAGCAAAGATGGAGAGGTAAAACCTGGAACTGTCCAGTTTCCTAAAACTAATGCCTCTCTTCACTAATTTCCTTGAAGATCAAAAGTTATACATATTTACCTGTATTCGTCTTTTAAATATAAATAAAAACGGTATGAAATAATTTATTTAGACTATTCTAAACTTGCACAATTTTCTTTATTGTGGTTGGTGGTGCCTTGTTCTCTTGGGGTTTTTCTTCTGTTTAAAAGACCCCCACATTGTACCCATGGCCACACTGAATTAGCCAACTAATTCAATTAGCCAACACACTCAATTAGGACAACTTGTTTTTCTAAATTTTCCATGGAAAACTTCTGATTTCTGCCTGATCAACAAAGGCTGAAAGACTTCCCTTGAGGGAAACAGATCTTAAAACCTCTGCATACATATAAATTTATAAATAAAATAACTAATAAAACACCTGTTCCTTCCACAAAAAAACTTACGCTCAGACCAGAGGAAGGCTGCCTTGGGTACAGTGATTATTTGAGGGCAATAGCTCATATTGTGACAGCCTAGCAATTTCATTTGTCTCCTAATTGTAACTTTCTATTCAATTTAATCCTGAAATAAAGGAGCATCCCTCAGGCTCTGGATACTAACTTGGAGACGTTGCCAACCACAATCGTTTTCTTCACATAAAGTCGTGAAGTTTCATCATTTGACAGTCCGGCATTTCGTTGTCCTGGTTTTTGAGAGCTTGAAACACCCGAACTGTCCTGAGGGTAGGGGAAGAAAAAAAAGGCAAACAAAAACCCAAACATTCCTCTTAAACATCATTTTGTTTGGTGCTAGAAAAGTAAGGTGTTGTTAAAAAAAAAAAAAAACAAACCAAAAGCCTGTGTAAATGAAAGATCAACAAGGAATCATCCCTAAAAATACTTAAATTGCTCTCTAGGCACATTTAAGCAACTTAGGCATGTGACAATGCTATCCTCCCTGGCCAAGAATACACTGCATGCCTTAACTGAGCAGACATAGTGTAACATCCCATGGAGCTGAGCCATGACTTCAGCCTGGGCTTCAAAAGCACTGCCCCTGCACTATCTGAAATAAAACCAGGCATGGCTAGAATGGCATTGTGTTGGTCACTAACCAGGAACAAAGCTCAACCACCCATGAGTGGGGGCTGAAAATCAAAATCTTTCCCATTCCCAGCTTCTGCTGCTCTGAGGGACTCTGGTGCTGCCTCACAGTGAAGAATCGAGGCTGGGTTTGAGGCAGGAATTCAGCTCCAGCTGAGCAGGGAGAGCAGCCATAACCTGTCACTGCCATCCAGGTCAACCCACAGACCCACAGCCACACCTTGGCATAATAAATCAGCCACCCTGTAACACAACCCCAACTATCAAGCAGTGGCCAAGACTCCCAGTACAATGATCTGACCACCCACTGTGCCAACACAAGTAGAAGTGTTCTTTGTATAGGACTGAGAGGCTTTTCTACAACCCTGCTGGATGGAGTGTCTGACTGGAGAGTAAGGGACTGCCACCCTCGAGTGACCACAAAGCAGCCCAGAGGATGCACTCTGAGCACCTGCCAGAGGAAGGCCAGTGGGAGGCACTGCATTCACTGAGGAACCATTCCCCCTCCTCCACTAATTCAGGGGTGCCTCAAAGTGGAGCAAGGAGTCACAGAAGGCTGGGATGACTCCTGCTCCTCATCACTCCCTCAGCCTCCTCTGCATTGGTCAAAGATGTACCAGTGTGCAATGTACCCAAGCAATACAACTGCTCCATCCATCTATGCCCCCAGCACAGAAACAAGTTCTATTGGTCTGGTGGTTTACAGCATAGGTGGGTCCACATTCTGTACAGCTCATCTGCCTTCTCTCCAGACCCAAGGCAGAGTGAAAGTAAACTGCAGCCCTGCTATAAAGGAGGGCTCTCACGCAGCTTAATGTAGGCAAAATCAGTGCTCTTTCTGCCATCTATTAGTGCAACTTATTCAGCTGCAGACTGCAGTCATATTCACTGAGATATACCCACCCCTGGCTGCACTCCTCTGGCAGGCCTGACCACTTAAAGGAACTGAAAGGAAACTGAAGAGTTTCACCTCATTTCACATTTCACCTGCAGACACTGAGTGAACCTCTCCAGTGAAGCTACCTGCAGACAACAGGTGAAGCATTTGTGTGGCTGCACAGAGAGCCACAAAGGGAGGGACTGATCAGGTCAAAAATAAGCCCCCAAAAAGCATGAGGGAATACTGACAGAACATATTTTTACTTGGGTCAGACCGGCTCCATTAAGCAAATAGTGGTTATGCACAACAGCAAGCAGCACCATCAAGAGGAAAAGCAATTCTCTCCTGTATGGTCCCAAATTGTGCACCCAGGCTCTACCAACTCAGGCTGCCAGGGTGAGCTAATTCAAATAGTGTTACTGTCTGCACTACAGGCTGCTGAGGAGGCCAAACCCCTCCAGCTGATCAACTGCCCTGAGCAATGCAGTCCCCATGGGCACTCAGAGCCAGGCAGCAGCATTACTCCTGAAAACACTGCTGGGAATGACAGACATTGCTCCCCTCTGCAGGCTCTACCCTCCCATCCTGACTTCCAGCCCTAGAGCAAAGCCCAAGCTCAGGCTGTGAAGCACCTCCTTCCCCAGAGGCCACGGCCGAGGCTGGCAGAGCTGTGCTGACCCCACGGCTCTCCCCGGCCTGCTGAACTCCTTTGGGCAGGACTGAGGTAAGAGGAGGTACCCACATTACACACACTTCAGGTGGCCTCACAGCAAAGCCAGGCTGAGGGAGTGGGAGCAAGCGGTTGGAGAGGGTAAGGAACACATCTTCAGCAAGGTGGGTGAAAACATGAAGAGCTCCTGGTGCCAGCACCGAGTCCTCAGAGCACACACCTCCAACAACTTGATCACCACTCGAGTTTTACTTTACCCGGCCAGCATTTCTGCTCTGTCTCTGGTCCAGGCTGTTTGTCAGCCGCTCGTCGGCGTCCAAGCTGCCATTGTCCTTGTCCAGGAGAAAGTCATTGTGCTGAGAGAGCGAGTCGCTCTCTGAGTGGTTGGCAGAGGGAGTGTCTGAGCCCTGGTTAGCTGGAGACGAAGATCTCGAGGGAGATTCCAAGAACTTCTTGATTGAAGGGTGATTAAGAATTGTTGTGTCACACGACCTGGTCCCCTGCAATGAAGAGGTCAGGAAAATCTGGTCACTATTTCCCCACAGCCCAGATAAAAACAAAGCTGCATCAGGAGAGAAAAAGTCAATGAATAAAGAAACAGTAAATATTTAATCAGCTGCCCTGCAGGAAAAACAGATGCTGCGAAAGATAAAGCTTAAAAGGGTTCTACAGAAACAGTACCCCAAATTGAATTTGTTCCTTCACACCTTTTGATCTCAGAAACACACTGGGTTTTGGGAGGACTGCAGCCTACTCAACTACCTAAAAGATCCCTTTGAAAACAACTTCTTCCTGTGCAGCCACCTCCAGTCTCACCACACACAGGAAGGCCACAGCTGCCCAGCTCTTGCAGGCAAGCAGGGTAGGTAAGTGCATCAGGCTCTTCAGCTTTGATACTCATTGGCAGCCTTGTCAACACCTATGAGGCAAGCTACACCCTGTCTGCTCCCAAGGCTTAGCAGGGGTAAGTAAAAATGTGTTTAGGCATGCTTGCAAACTTTCCTCAAAACAGATATCTTAGCTAATCTTAGATCCTCCTAAACCTGCAAGGGAGAGAACAGGACAGGCAAGTGTTTACATCTCTCTTGTTTTTTTCATTACCATGACAAAGGCCCTTCTTTTTCTCTTGCAATTGCTTTTTACTTCCCAAGTAGAAGGAAAACATCCATCAACTCAAAACAAGTGTCCCCTGGCCGCTTCTTGACCCAGGCACCAGACCTCCCTGTCACTTGGGTTTGACAATGAACCAGGTCAGCAGGAACACCCCTGTGCAGCAGCAGAGCACTGACGCCTCCCTTCAGCTCCTGCAGCCACAGCTCAAGGAGGCTCCTTCCCTGCCCAAACCACCTGCATCAGTCAGGCCAGAACAATTATTCATGGGGCATGTCAGAAAGGAAAACAAATCAAGAAACTGACTTGGGATCCATTTGTTGCTTTGTTTGTTTTGTTACTGTTTTTGTTTGGTTTTTTTTTCTCTTTACAATTTTATTTTTAATCCACATTAAGTTCTCTGATATAGAATTCTGCCAACATGATTGAGGGGGAAGCAGACAGCAGCATCACTGCAGAGCAGAACTGCCCTCGAGAGGTGGTAGCAAGAGTGGAGCTACAAGCACTGTCCCACCTCTGAAGGAGCATTCCAGAATTTCCTTTCCAATTGTCCATTACATGCAGGAGCAGAGCAATTACCAACTCTCAGTTACCAGCTTGGGAGGGTTAAAGCCATTTATCCAAGGGCAGGGACACACACACAGCCTGTCCAAAAAACCCCGAAGTCCAAACCAAACATCTCCTTTTGTTTTACCTCTAGTCAAGTAAAACGACCAACATCTTGTCCAATAATTTGTGGGAAAACAAAATAAAGCACAATCATGAGGAATCCCGAGCCTCAAAACTCAGTAGCATTGGGTTTGAGAACTGTTTATATTTCTGAGAACAGGTCAGGAACTTATAAATCATCTCCCAGAAGTTCTGAATTAAACTACAAAGACTCCTATTCTACCAGAAGCAGAAACAAGACAATCTTTCACTGCCTGGTCAAACATACACGAGCCACAATTAAAAACAGACAACAAAGAAAATTGAAATCAGCAACAATTCCAAAACAAAGGAAAAACTGATTTAATCTGTGTGCAAATCAGGACTTTGAGGAAAAAAAATGCAATAAAGATACAGCCATAAACTCATAAAAACTAGTGGAAAACTAAATAAAGCAAGGAGGCACCAGTAAGTTTTGTGAACACCTCAAAACAATTACAGAATATATTTTTTCTGTAAAGTGTGAAAATCAACAGGGAAAAAAGCAAACACCCCACAGCACAGCTCCTGCAGACACATGATGACAATGGACAAAGGCACTTACAAAGATTAGAACTTAGGTCACATTCTTCAGCTGCCTACACAAAAATTAAAAGGGGCAGAGAGATCTCCAAGCCTCCCAAGGCCACCACAACCTTTTCAAACTCCAGTTGCTCAACTCAACTTCAGAGAGGGAAAAACAAGCTGAACCTTTTTGTTTTTACCTCACTCCAAGTCCTTTGAAGAGCACAACAGGAAAACCAGAAGCAGCATTGAGAGCAAGTGCTTGGAAGAGAAATTCTTATGGGACTAGAGCGAAACCCATGTTTGCAGCAGCCATTGACAGCTTCCAAAAATCACTGGAAATCAAATCAACTTGAACTGAAAAGATGGTAACAAAATGCCTACACTGGTAATGAACTACATGTCATTTGGGACTCTGTACAGTCATGAACACCCTGCAATTAGCAGTCATTAAGGGCAGAGTGCTCAGAACTGGGGTTTAACTAACAGGGTTTGAGGCTTTTTAATCTTGTGAATTTTTAATCACTCTGTGATATCTCCCTGATTTATCTCCTGCTTTACTGCTGCCATCAGTCTGTTCACCAATCATTAACAGACTGACTGCCAGGATAAAGGGAAGATCGTTTCACAGCACTGCCCGAGTCTCAAACAATCTTGAAATCTTTATTATTTTTCTCTTTTCCTGAAAAGTCCTCAAATGCATGTGCTGCCACTGTCCTCCTGTGAAACAGGAAAACATATTCCACACTTTTCACGGCTTTGCAAGGACAAACTGTGCAGTGTCTGAGAAACAAGACAGTGCTCTCAGGGAAAAACTGAGGAGGAAAAAAAATGCAGAATATTTCAGAAACCAGAACCAGGGGCTGCTGAACAACTTTGCAACTCTTCTTGAAGACTCCTCCTTGCCAGGACCCAGCAGATGATGCAAAGGTCTCCTCTCCCACTGCCACCCCACTTGCAGTTTGTATTCCACTATTTCATTCAATCACATCTTAACACCAAACATCAGCTAACAGCCACTGAAACTCTACACCTTCCTTTGCAAAGACTCCCTGAAGTCTTGTTATTCCCAGAGTAGTTTTTACCTCGCCAGCTTTGAGGAGGCCAGCAGAGGCATAATAGTTAGCCACAATGCAGGCACGCAGCTTGTCCATCATCCTCCTGGCTTCAATCAGGCGCTGCAGAAAGGAAACAAAGAGTAATGGTCAGCACTGCAGCAATCCCCCATGCCCCAAACACCAAGACCTTAGGTATTTATAAGAACAAAACCTTTATACCTGATCTATAACTTCAATTTCATGTTCTTTACTCTTCATTTCGACGGCAAACTGTTCCTTTATAATGGTCTCAATCTTCTGCACAGTAACATCTCGAGCTGTACAAGGCCACACATGGAAAATAAAGGAGGAAGTATTTACATTTCTATTTTTGAGGCTCCATTTGAAAACAGAAAGATCAGAAATCACTACAGAGTGAGAACTGAAGGGATAGTAAGTTCAACACACAGACACACATAAAGGGAAGGATCATTTTCTTAAAAAAAAAAAAGTTATGTCTTAACAAAAACCACATGTATCTTTAAAAGCCAGCTTATGTGGAGAGCTATTTTTCCCTTTTTAGGTCTGAGATGGCAAGTAACAGAAAATGGGAAGAACAGGGCCAGTTTGTTTACTTCTGCCCCAGTAAAGCTGTAAACAGTAAAAGGAAAACTCCACGGTGCTGGCCCAGCGCAGGCACCGCTGCGACTGCGCCGGAGCGAGCTGGAACACCACGGATGTTCTTCTGCTCTCCTTGGCCAGAGCCACATCCAGGAGATTTACACCACCTCCCACAGCAAGAATCAAGTAAACTCATATTTATACAGCCCTGGCACGAAGTGCAGCCTGCTCTGGAGTGCCTACAAGCTGTTTATTACTCACAAAGGAAACTACATTATCTAAAGCTGGTCTACCTCTTACAAAATCCTCTTCCAGCACAGCAGACAAAAAAATTTAGCCTTTCAGCAGGAGTTTAGTGACCTTGGTGGAAAGTATGTAGTTTAGGATTTCAAACTGTGCAAATACCTTTCCACAAGTTAGTGGCTAAGAATGGAATTGGCATATTACCATGTTTTTCTAGGATATGTATAAACATAACTATTCTTTTTGCTCTACACCTACTGTAGATTTTAATATCACCCTTCATTTAGGGCACCTCCATTACACCAAGGGGTTTCAAACAACTGTTTTCAGCAAATTCTAAGTCAGAACCTGGCAAAGCAGGAATTACACTTCTAGAAGAAAGCCTGGAAAAGGTGCTCCAGCCTGTGTCAGTAATGGAGTGACCCCACAATAAAGCAGATCAGCAAAAGTCTGGTTTTCCCTGGAAAAATCTCACATTGTTTCTACATGAAATAGGAGGCAACAGCACAAAGACTTTGGCTTGAGCTTCAGAGGAAGCATATGTCCTCCTAAAAAGTACAGATCTGTTTGAAGAGGTTTCTAATATCACCAGAGAGAAGGGAAATGAAAGCAAGTCAAAGCTTTGCTGGTATCTTCCAGATAGCACAGATCATTTTACTGTCTGATCAGGTACCTACAACAGGAGTGAGGCAACTGATGCCTCTATATGCAACAGGGGTATCCTAAATAATTTTCTTCCTTTCCACATACATATATACACACAGGCATATATATATATGTATATATATACGTATGTATATATACTTATATGTTGATATATATAGGGGCATATATATATATGTTTGTGTGTATGTGTATAGTTCAAGCCTACATTAAAACACAATTATGGTCGAATCTGCATTTGAGTAAGGCAAATTAAAAACCAGAGGGATATAATTTACCTCCAGCCATGAACCCACGATGAAGAAATTCTCATATAAGGCTATATGCTTAAAATAAACAAAACAGATCAAGGCATGAGAGGTATAGTTCAGAGAGGGACAACTGCATCTCCTTCCAAGGCTAAAGCCATGCCACAGCAGCATCATGATGATTCAAACACTTCAGGATTTGTGGTTATATTACAGAGGCTTTTAAGAACACTTTATATTAATTTTTTCTCAGCTTAGTGTCAACCACAGTGCCTCATTAAGACCATGATAGTGAAATTTGTGTAGTTAAGGAATTCTAGTATTGAAAGCTGGAGATCTTTCATGAAAAGAAGCCAATTTGGAAGAATCTCCTGAAAGCAAAGTTCACTTTGGCAAGGCCAGTTTTCCAAGGCCCTGAGACTCTGCCTGCTCATCATCAAGACCTCCTGGAAGTTTGTTTCAGAAGCAGATTAAAAACCTGCCTGCAGCCCCTGGGACACGCCAGAACTAAGGGTGGTGGCTTCTGGCAGCCAGGCAGGGCAGGCAGCTGGGAATGGTGACATGGGCAGCTCCAGCACAGCTGCACCAGGCCCCACGTGGCAGAAGGACTTGTCCAGCAACACACTCAACCCTGAGTTCAGCCTCCTCAGACCTGTCCAGCTGTACAGCATCCTCCAAAACATCACCCACTGAGCCATCCTCTGTCACTCTCCAACTGGCAGCTCTATTCCTGGATCTTTTTCAGAGCCCACAGCCAGCCTCGGTTTTCTCACCTCCCTGTTTGTCAGCTCTTCCCATCGCAATCCTCTCTCACTAGCTGTGCTATGCCAAAAATCACTAGCCTACTCCCTGCCCCCGGGGCAAGCAGCTCTACTCTCATTTGCCCAGAGAGACTGCAACCTGTCCCAGGCACTGTGCCAACAGGCTGGTTCCCAAAGCAAGCATACCCAAGCGTGCCAAATGCAAACCTACTCATCCAGCTACTTGCTCCACTACACTTCTTTATCCACCTTTCCTTCAGTCATGCTCCTGTTCCTCCTCTCTTGCATGTTTCAAAGTCCCTTCCTTCTCCCTAAATTATCCTTTCTACACTTCATCAAAGAAGCTTCCTTCTGCTTCATCTGCCAGCTCGTGCAAACATTTGTCATCTTCCAACAGCCAGTGCGTGCACTGCAGGGTTGTGCATCTCTTTTACCCTGCAGGGTCATGGATTTTTTTTCTCCTCCCCACGCTGTATTGTGACCTCTATCCCCCAAAATGTAAACAACCTGCCAATCTTTCCCAGAGCACACTTCAGCCACAGAACAAATACACAGGCTGGATAACTACTCAGCACAGGAAGGTGGACTGTAACCACTTTAGGAAGCAACAGGAATCAAAGTGCTGGATAGCTTGTGCTCCATCTCCTATCATGCACCAAAGGCTGCCTCCTCACACCTTACTTCTGGTTCAGATAGCAGGAAGGGAGGACTCCACATAAGATACATCTTCATTTGGCTACATAGAGGTACCACCACTGGCCTTGCTCAACGTCTGTCCTTTGCTCCTAATGCCTACCCCAGCCTTTTCCTGACTGGTTTACAGACAACTTGGAATTTCCAATTCCACAGCTCCTACCTGACTGTTCGGCTGCTTTGTGCCGCTTGCTGGGATGTGTGACGGTGATCTCCTCATAGTCGGGGTCCTTCTCTGCGAGCACTCTCTTGATCCCAGACATGTTCTCTGCTCCACTAGCAGGAAAAATAAAAGCATTAACCTTTCCCACAGTGACCGTCAGGGCAGGCTTCAACCTCTCACCATGTGGAGGCCTGTGGTGCACCCCTCAAAAGAGAAGGGGCACCTCTCTAGTGGGGGCAGTGATCAGGGCACAGGTTCCCAGCCGAGAGCTGGTTCTGTTCCGCACAGCCCAGGAGCCCCAAACGCCTCCTGCCGCCTGCGGCTCACCGGAGCCGGGGTGCCCACCGCCCCAGCGGAGCTGCAGCGGCCCCGTGAGCCCAGGAGAGCGGGGCTCCCCGCGCACGGCACCGCCACCGTTCAAAGGGCAATGCTGGGCACACCGGTGCGTGCGGCCGGCGGCGGGCCCAGCTGCCCCGGCACCGGCCGGGGCTCCCCGCTGCGGGGTCACACAGCGGCTGTGCCTCGCCCAGAGCGGCTCGGCCCGAGCCACGACCCTGCCGTGAGGGGGCGGCGAGCACCGCCGAGGTGGGAGCGCAGCGGGGCTCGACCCGCAGGCGTGAGGCGGCGCGGAGGCCGCCGCGGTGCCGGTGCCGCGGTGCCCCGGGCGCGGAGGGCGGAGCGCTGCCCGCGGCCGGTCCCACGTGCGGGCGCCGCTCCCCTCCCCCGCCGCGCACACAAAGCCGCGGCCGCGGCCGCGCTCTTTCTCCGCGCTCCGCCCGCCCCGCCGCTCACCGCGCTCCGCCGCCCGGCCCGGCCCCGCCGCCTGCACCGGCCGGCCCCGCCCGCCGCGCCGCCCGGGGCGCTCAGCGCCGACCCCCGCCGCGCCGTCCCGCCGCCGCCGCCATGAGCGCAGGGCCGAGCGCCGCCCGTCACGGCCGGGGCGGGCCCGCGCAGGCGGGCAGCGCGCGGGGCGGGGCGGGGCGGCCGCGGGCAGGTGCCGCCTCACGGCCCGGCCGCGCTCCGGGAGCGCCCCGCGGCGGGGTGCGGGCACAGAGCGGGGAAACCGGGATGGGCGACGCGGTCGGGCTCGTGTACGGAGAGACGAACGCAGTGATTTGATCCTGACCTGGATTAACGTGGTTTAACGTGTTCAAAGGTCTGAGGAGGACTTTTTAGCGTGGAAGGTATTTCACGGAAGAACGATCGAGGTGCTGAAGCGTGTTCAGAGTGGCAGCGGAGCCGGGGAAGGGGCTGAGCACAAGTGCTGCGAGGAGCAGCTGGGGGAGCTGGGGGTGTCCAGCCTGAGCAAAGGAGGCTCAGGGGGCTCACGGCTCTGCACAGCTCCTGACCAGGAGGCTGCAGCCAGCTGGGGCCGGCCCTGCTCTCAGGAACAGCACAGGGTGAGAGGACATCGCCTTAAGCTGTGCTGGAGGCTCAGGTTGGACATTGGAGGAAATCCTTCACAGAAAGGGTGATGAGGCATTGCTACGGGCTGACCGGGGAGCCGGTGGAGTCACCTTCCCTGGAGATATTTAAGGAAAGACTGAATGTGGCACTTAGTGCTGCGGTCTAGTTGTCAAAGTGATGTTCAGTCATAGGCTGCACTCGATCTCTGAGATCTTTTCAGCCTAATTGATTCTGTGATCCTATGATTAGCAAAAGAAAAGACCCAAGAAGGGAGTCCTGGAGTGATCGCGCTGCAGAGAGCAGGAGCTCACAGCATGAGGCAGGATGGGAGCCCTGGTCTACCCTTAGATAGGCTTCAAAAAACCCTTATAGTTAATACTCATCTTACTTCATATTCTCAAGTCAGAGCTAAACCAGTGCAATGGGTGCGGCTAATGCCATGGTTTGTGTTTGGCTCTGGCCAGGCTGCAATACCTCTGTCAGGTACAGCTAATGGTATCAATGCTATGGTCCGTGGCAGCCTCATGCTTCATTCAGTTAGCCCTGAACCAGCACAAATTAACATCCTGTTCACTCTTGGATTGGCAAACTGATTTATGAGGCTACTGATTAGCAGGTCTATGCTGAATGTTCAAAGCTTAGCCTTTAAGGTCTTCTCATTTCAGGATCACTGCTATCCTTTCTGACACTACCAACCTTTCTTTCTGCCAGATGTGAAGTATGGCAGATCAATGGAGACTGTTCTTAAACACAAATCAGTATCCTATTCACCAGGAATGACTGTAGTGTATTTTAATTTTATTTTCTTCCTTTTTTCTGCTTAATGGAAAGAGGAAGAAGCTGTTCTTAGAATACTGCCACCAGTTGACTGTATTTAAGATTTAAAATATCTTAAGGTGGGTTTTTCAGCTCTCAAAAGTATTTCCATTGCTTTGCAGTCTGTGGGGATTCTCTTTCATTTTTTTCCCAATTACTTCCTTCTGCAGTAAGCTGAGCTTCTGCAAGCACTGAACTTGCCTGGAAGTTGCTTTCCTGCAGCAAGAGCCAGTCTGTGGCTGTACCCAAGCCTGGCCACACTGCAGAGCTGCAGCAGTCCCTGCTGGCCTGCCACGTTTTCAGCAGGGCTCTGCCCCCTGCAGCCTTGCCCCCTGCTCTGCCATGTGTGTGTGGCATCTTGAGACGGCCAAGCCTCCAGTTTCAGAATAAACCTACAGGATTCTGCCCAAACCATGTTTTGCTAGTGACCTTCCCAATGTTTTGTTACCTTTTCCCAATTTCCTATGCTGGTTTTGCCTTCTGAGTCCATTCGCATTTTCTTCTCATCACAATACCCAGGACTAACCCAGTATTTCATATCCCACTCCCTGCTTTTCACTTTTTCCAGTTTTGCTTCAAGTTTGCTCTTCTGTGCAGCCTCCAGCTTGCCTTTATTCCCCGTGGTAGGGCAGAAAGATCAGCAGAGAAAACTCCTAGACTGGGAGGCAGGAGAAGAGATCAAAGGAGAGAGAGTGCACAAGGGGCAGAATCCAACAAGTTACATGGCCCAAAAAAGCAGGAGGGAGTTTCCTCCTTGTACCACACCAAGCCCCACCCTGGAACTTCTCATAACCTAAATAAACCACAGTGAACTATTCAAAAGGCAAATGTTTATTAGATACACTGAACTTTAAAAAACTTCCAAAGAATTATGCAAGAAGTATATTTAAATATAGCAGGTGTTAACTGCAATTATGCTACATTACAAAATCACTTTTCTACTGTCAGCACAATCTGAAGACCTTAATGTTGTGTGTGAGATCCGTTACATTGACTCTGGCACACAGTAAGTGGTCTGAGCTTTCCTGTTCAGATGTCATTTGTGCTGCACCAGGCTGTTCTTGAGGGCAAGATCAGCTCTCCGTGAACTACAGCTTTTATGTTTCAGTAAATAAAGGAACTGGCAAGGAATAACAAGAACTGTTTTCCTCAGCAAAAAAAGGAAAATGAAAATATGATTTCAGGCGAAAATATGAGTAACTGTTCAGGAGGTAAACTCTCTTTCCATGGCCAAGTAGTTCCTATTAATCTGACTCCAAAGTGCTACAGGTGCACCAAAAGGAGAATGACTCATAGGTCCAGCATTTACACAGATGAAATTAGTAACAGTACATTACATTCAAGTCTCTTGATTTGCTTATTGCCGTGCTGCACCATATTATTGCTTCATATTTTGTATCTTGAACAAGAGGTTGATGACTTTGGAGAGTTCAGAAATATCACAGAGGCTACTGACTAATACAAGAAACTGTACATGTTAAGGACAGGAAGTCAAAGACTAAACTCAGTCCTTTGTCACTGAGGCGTTGCTGGAAACAAAAATTAGAAAAAAACAAATACTGCTTTCCCTAGATTAGATCTGCAATAGTACTGTAATAATGGAAGCATTCTAGGCATGTTCTAAACAAGTTTAACTGTGCTAATTAATGAACGGCAAGATTTATTTCTCCTAGAAGGACATTAACAGTCTGGACAGTAAGACCAATCATAACAAAGGCAAAAAACTGGGAGGAGTAATCCAAACTCTTCTTCAAAATAGATAAAAATAGTGGTGAATTCAAGGCACAGGTATTTTCAAATTTAACACACATTATTTTCTTTGGAGCTAATCATACAAACTAAGCCCTGATTACAGTATTAACAAGTTGTACACAGGGCCTTAATGTGCATCACTTGTAACAGCACTATCAGAGAATGATCACAAAATAATTCACATACAGATGTGCACACATAAACATATTAGCATTGGCTGGATCTCTACAGTAGAAAAAAAGAAATATTCCTGCAAATAGCTTACAGTTCTTAGACAGTAACGTTATAATGAACTTGTGTGTGACACAAAGGCAGGGAGCAGAGAACACTCACAGCTGCTTTGGGCTTGGTGGGAGGCTGCTGGTTACAAAATTGTGATCCATTTTAATTAATGCCACCTGAAATAATTTCATACTGAGGAAACTTGTGTGCAAAACATATTTTGCAAAACCCAAAGCACTGCTTGGCCCCCAACCAGAGAGCAGGTTTCTGCTTAGAAATTTCATCTTTCCCTGTAGGTTCCTTTTCTGAGTATATGGTGTTTAGATTTTTTTAACCATGCACAACAAATAATTTAATTTGTAATTTCTTGTGTACATGAGACTGCATTCAGATGAAAGTATTCGCTGTGCCTCACAGTGATCAAGTCTTGTGACATGCTTAATCCTCTTGAATTGGGTTTTGCCATCTTCAGTGGTAAAGAACCCCACAGCTACTTGCCTATTTGGGCAATTCAGAAAAATGAACCCCTGGCTTTCCTGAGCATTGCCACTAGCAGACCATAAGCATATCTGCATCTTTATTGCTCCAGGTGAGTTCAGTGAATTGACAAATATGAAACATTTTTACCACCTGAGTTTCAGCATGTGGAATTGCAAACTTATGAGCATCCTGAAGACCTTGGTTTCAGCAAGCCCAGCTAAACTGCAACCCCCAAACACCCCGGGTCTCCTCCTGCCATCTCTGAGCCTGCTCCAATGCTTTTCTCCTGTCTCTGCTCTTCAGAGCTGGACTCAGCCCAGGCTCTGCTGGCCAGCACCTGCCCTGTGCCTCGGGCAGGGGCAAACATCAAGTCACAGGCAGGGAGTGGGCCCGCTTCTTGTTCTGCCCCTGCAGCAAGTCAGAGACAAGCAGGATAAACAAAGGTTTACCCAAGATAATGAGGTGAACTCAGCTGTTCTGAGGAAGAAACTGAACAGGCAGTAGCATCCTTGCTCTCAAGCACAGGTGACCAAAGCTTCCTCTGAATCTCTGTCCAAGTGAGCATTTCCTCTTTCTCCATCATCAGCCTCTCAAAACTTTGCAATGTTAAAAATACTATTTAAAAAGCTTCAGTAAATTATGGTAAGGGTCCATATCAACACAATCTGCATGAATATCTCTGCTTCAACAGTGTAGAAACAAAGCTATCTTTGATGAGAACTGCATTGATGCCAATCAAAAATAAAAAATAACAATACTCCTTTGGTGCTGCAGGGGAAAGCCCAATCCCCCAAATGCCTACCAGACACACCACACTACCAGTATAAAATGGAAGAGATTCCACAAATTATGCCCACTTAACCACTCCCAAGGAGGGAGTCTACAGGTACAGCTACAAGATTAGCAGGCAATGTTCTGTGGCTGATGGCTGTAGAAGGGGAATGCTTAGCCACAAGCCAAGGGCTAGAGGCTGCACATGCTGCAGTGATCTGTGATTCAGAACCTTCCAGAACCTGGCTGCAAGAAAGCATCAACTGTCTCTTCAATTAACATCACATTGCTAAGAACAGAAATGGACATCAAAATAGATAAAAAATATTTACTCATTTCTGTTTAGCAGAGTGAAGACAATTCTTAGAATTTATTTTTAGGTGT